TATTAATGTTAGAGCGTATTGTGAACCGGCATGGTTAGATCCACCATCGTGCCTATTTCTCGAGCATGAGTTATGTACACTGAAGGTAGATGAACTATTTAACTTTCTAGGCAAAGTGCTATTGCCTCACCGCATTTGGCCTCTCAAATATTTGCTATAATATCGATTATTTACCTAGCGCAATTAGAAAAAAGCGAATTAGTATGCGAGTAGAAACATCCAGAATGTACATACCTGCCTACATCTGTCAAGGTCAAGGTTCAATTAAGAGACATATTTTACATTCAGTGAAAACATATACATAGGTATGTTTGAAATTTGAATTGTTTATATCATGTGCTGTATTATTATTTTTCAAAAAAAAATGTGTTATGCTTTGAATTTAGAACCTCATTAATTTACGGAAGTTACAAATTTTCCGTGTTCCATCTTGAAAACGTAGAGAAACACATTTTAGGAATAACATAAAAAAAAGGTTTCTTAATCTGTGAGTGGTGTCATTTTAAAAGCATCAAAGACTGAAACTATGGTTTCCATTTTATACACTCATAATTATGGACGTAAACCCTCAGACACAGCCCACTGAGTTTTTCGCCGGATCTTCTCAGTGGGTCGCGCTTCCGATCCGGTGGTAGATTCTGCGAAGCACGGCTCTTGCTAGGGTTCGTGTTAGCAACGTCGTCAGGTCTGAGCCCCGCGAGCTGACCTACTAGTTAAGTTTACGCTGAAATAGCCTCTCAAGGCTATCAGCTTAGGTAGAATAAAAAATAAAAAATGAATGTATTATGAGTTATCGCTTTCTTGGTTTATTTTTGCTTGAACGAGAAGACATAGAGTAAAGGAAAAATAATGTATACTATTGAATACTATAAAGCTGAAGAGTTTGTTTGTTTGAACGTGCTAATCTCAGGAATTACAGTGATCCGATTTGAAAAATTCTTTTAGTGTTAGATAGCCCATTTATTGAGGAAGGCTATATAACATCACGCTAAGACCAATACAAGCGAAGCACCAATAAAGAAAGTTTCAAAATCGGGTTTTTTTCCCTTTTGAGAGCTTCCGCTGCGTGCACTGCAGAAACTGTTAGTTTCGCTAAAATAATGTCCGACAGCATTGTTCCCCTTTAAAAGATCTAAAAAAAAGTCCGCGACAGCAAATGTCTATATGTTAAGGCTGGCTCACTACAACGTTTTGTATGCTAACCAATTTAGTTCTAAAATAAAGCATCATTTGTGAACTATTGCACGCGGATGAAGTCGCGAGCAAAAGCTAGTAAAACATATAGCTTAAAAACAATAAAAAAACAGTTTCATTCGACCTTCGCGAGTCGCAGGCATAATTAAATCTAAATTTACGGTCAAATCTCACGTTTTTTCTGTCATAGATACATAATTAAAGTATCAAATTAAACCGGCGACTTACAATTGGATGACTCCGTAGCATAGATTGATACAGGTTAAGTTAAAAACACGTTTAAACAGCAAACCAAACTAGCAGTTCTTCTTTTTTGTCGTCCCGTTGATACTGGTCAAGATATTAGAGCGAAGTTATAAAATTATTGTAACGTCATCGCTCCTTGACATGAGTGAAAATTTTCAGGTTAATATATCGTCTTGAAGCCGCTGAGAATGACATTTAAAAATTCCGTAAGGGCCGCCGCACATGGGCCACCGGCCACGACGTTTTGTTGTGGTTGTGGCCATGCATATGTTGTGGTTGTGTGTGTGACTGGCATATTTTCTATAATTTTCATACATTTTATATGCCGCACACAGTTGACGCCGGTGGCCACCAGTGTCACCACACGCTACAAATCGTCGTTGCTCGCTTCTTGTGGCCCACACCGGCCACTAAGCGCAGATACAAAACGCCACCACACGCCACTCGCGCAGCCCACTGTGTTTCTCGCCGGATCTTCTCAGCGGGTCGCGTTTCCGATCCGGTGGTAGATTCTGCGAAGCACTGCTCTTGCTAGGGCCAGTGTTAGCAACACTCCGGTTTGAGCCCCCTGAGCTTACCTACACACGTTAGGGTGAAGCTGAAATAGCTTCTCCAGGCTATCAGCATAGGTAGGAGAGAAAAAAAGCCACTCGAGCGATTCCCCACCCCTCTCTCCCTTACCTCAGTCCATTATGATACTGCGCGCATGGATTACAAAAAGTAGCAGCCACCGACCGCAAGTGTCGATCACCGGCCACAAGTGGCTGTCACGTGCTTCAGCTACCTTTGTAGCCGCCTCTAGCTTCTAGTGGCGGCGTTTGTGGCTGTCGCGTGTGGCTTGTGTGCGGCCACCTTTACATAGAAACATACATAAAATATACTGAGATAAAAAACGCTTGTCTAAAAACAAGTACAAAATAAAGATTTGTTTTATACGCGTGCCTAAACTATTCATCTACCTCAGTGCGCTCTGTTCCAACTCCGTACAAATTCAAGTTAACTTTTACGCGATCGACAACGTTAAAAACTCGCACTAAGCACGCTGATAAAGCTTGGTACGTTAGTTGTTCACACTCGAAGAACGATTTCTATCGTAGTACCATCGAAATAGGAAAGGTGGCGCGCTAATAGTATCAAGAAATTTATACAAAAACCATCTCATACAGTTATCGATTATCATTAAACAATATTCGTAATAATAAAGCATCTGCACGTGTTTTTAATTCCCTACTAAAATAGTTCCCTATACAAACATTCGAATTGACCTTAAAGCATTCGTAAGCACGCTGCTTCGGTATACAGTCAAGTTGCTTGCTACTTATCGGTGGCACGAGATAAGTCAACATTATCAATAATTTTGTAATTGTACCGTGCATTTGTTTATCGTTTGCACGTATTTCATTTTATAAAATGATAGTGATTCTATTAAATGTGTGGAGATCGTGTTTTAATGTTACATTTATCGTTTGGTCTCGTATTGTACTGATTATATTGAGTGCGTTAATATACCAAAGTTTCGTTTTGGCCGAAGTGTTTTTGAACAATTACAATTACGTGTACCCTCCGTATTTTACGAAATCTATCGTAGTCGCATTTAATTATGCCTCGTCCGTGTATGGTTTTTTATTAAAAATAATCGCTGCTGAGGTAAGAAGATATTAAAAAAGAAAACAATAATAATTGTGTATAATTTAGCAATTATATTATTATAACTACAGGAAACAAAATTCATTTGAAATTATTGCAACCTAGGTATTATTAAAATGCCGCAGAGGATAAATATTTGTTTCATAACAAACATCCGACTCCTCTGTTAATAGGTAAATAAGATCTCACCCAGCATCTGGGTTGTGAATATAATACAACTGATCGTCATAGTTCCGAAATGATAACACAAAAATATTCATCAAAATCTATTTAGTAGTTTTTGTGTGACGCTCACACAAATATGAAAACGGTTATAATTTAAATTTTACAAATTCCGAGAACTCTGATTGTTCACAGTTTTCTTGGTCATGGACAAATTTTTCTAAGATATAAGAGTAAAGATCTCGCCTACAACATACAAGCAAAAACATAAGAATATTATAACAACAAAAGAGGAATCCTCCGAGGAATTGTTTGACATGATCCCATCGTCTCGTTTTTACAATCGCACTGCCTGCCACCGGAGTAGAGTTCAAAATGTGCCACCCACCTTGAGACATACGTTCTAAGGTCTCAGCACAGTTACAACGGCTGCCCTGCCCTTCAAACCGAAACGCATTACTGCTTCACTGCAGAAATAGGCAGGGTGGTGGCACCTACCCGCGCGGACTCACAAGAGGTCCTACCACCAGTAAATTTATTTATTAACCTAAATAAAACATACTTTTATTCTTTATAACGCTTTTGATTATAAATATATCCCCGCACACTTATAGTAGATAGTTATTTTTATTGAACTAAAAAAATGTTTCCTAGAAATAACACACATGGCAAAACAACGTTTCCCGGGTCAGCTAGTATACTTATATAAGATTACAGACGATTATCCAGGCTATTTTTTATTTAACACTTATTTTATTTTGACATATTCCTTAAGACAAATTCGATGGTATCCATTCACATTAAAAATTGCAACCTGTAAATTAGTTGGTAAAATTCTAAATTTCTGAAAATAAAAAAAGATCTGCATTGAATCTCTTCATCTGATCTCTTCATTATGAAATGTGTATGATTTTCTTTTTATTTTATTTTTTCTCCAAATTAATTGACTGATTGACATAATGATAGCTAATATTGACATAGAGTGGTTACTACTGTATTGATATAATTATGTGTTTCTAATTAATTTCCTTTGTATATTTAATTAATTGAATTAGTATATTGTTCATTTTCTAGTTGTATTGTTGAACTGTTTGTGTGCTGACTATTGTATTATTATTATTTTATGGATTTTTTCGGAAATAAATGTTTTTTTTATTATTTATTATTGAATCAATATAAACATCATTATGAAGAATGCAAATTAAAATTCAAATTATAATCATTAGCGTAAAACTAGCGAACCGCGTCGAAGCGTTTTAATATATTTACAAACATCATATGCAAAATTTGCATATATTTTATGCACAAGAAATAACTGGGAACAAATCACGCACGGGCTATTATCATTTCCAGTGCTATAGATACCAGAGACTGATAAGCATGCTTATATATGTTTAAATATATGCATACATAATATATAGATATTAAACACCCAGATAAAGAGCAAACAAACCTTTTTTTTTTATTGCTTAGATGGGTGGACGAACTCACAGCCCTCCTTGTGTTAAGTGGTTACTGGAGCCCATAGACATCTACAACGTAAATGCCGCCACCCACCTTGAGAAATGAGTTCTAAGTCTCAGTTTTGCTACCCCACCCTCAAACCGAAACGCTTTACTGCTTCACGGCAGAAATAGACAGTGTAGTGGAACCTACCTACCTAACCCCGTGCGGGCTCCCAAGACCTACCACCAAGTACCATAGGTGGTATTGAATAACATTTCAATACTAGACTATTGCTTATTTCACAGACAGCAACCATGAACGCGTTCATGAGGAGGTTTCTCAGATTTCTCGTATCGTTGCTGGCCATCATAGTGGTGCCGGTTTCATATTTTTCAAGCTTCAAACGAAAACGGAAATGTCCCCCGCCAACAAATCCCATCCTCTTCAAATCAGCAACTAAGCTAGCAGATATGATAAGAAAGAAACAGGTACGTTTTTGTCTACATAAATACAAAAATGTTCATGAATACTGCCTAAATAATTCAATTTTGTCAATTTTTTTACTTCCTATTGGATCTATTTAATATTAGTACTATAATGCGTAAAATTTTAACAATCATCAGCTCTGTATAAATCTATCATGTCAATCAACCGCAAACACGACGGCACATCGCTTGGGAACAACACCAATTTTTTTTGTTCTTTTATTGCTTATATGTGTGGACGAGCTGACAGTCCACCTTTTGTTATGTGGTTACTGGAGCCCATAGACATCTACGACGTAAATGCGTCACCCACCTTGTGATATATGTAAGTTCTAAGGTCTCAAGTATAGTTACAACGGCTGCCCCACCCTTCAAACCAAAACGTATTACTGCTTCACAGCAGAAATAGGCAGGGTGGTGGTACCTACACACGCGGACTCATATGAGGTCCTACCACAAGTAATTACGCAAATTATAATTTTGCGGGTTTGATTGTTATTACACGATGTTATTCCTTCACCGTGCAAGTCAATCGTGAACATTTGTTGAGTACGTATTTCGTTAGAAAAATTGGTACCCGCTTCCGGGATTCGAACACCGGTGCATCGCTCAACACGAATGCACCGGACGTCTTATCCTTTAGGCCACGACGACTTCAAACGGTTTTTTTTATAATTTCTTTTTCGTTGTGTTCCTAAATGAAAGAGTAAGGTTGGCTTTTTTTCCCTCTATCTATTCGCTGGTACCCTAAGGGGCTATTCCAGCTACGCCCGGAGGGGTAGGTGAGGTCACGGTCTAAATCTGAAAGAATTTAATAACACTACCCTAGCAAGGTCAGTGCTTCACAGAATCTGCCGCCTATTAGGAATCACGATCCAATGAGAAGATCCGGTGAGAAGATCAATGAACTGTGAATAAGGTTTGCATGGAAGAAAATCCATGAGGAAGTTACGATATGATTCATTAGCTTTAAATAAAAATCAAAACTGGTACTCTTCAAGACAAAGGCTCTACCGACCGACGCAGGTTGTCGTTATTTTAATCATCATAGATGGAGATGATGATTAATGCCATTTAATATTAATATGAAGTGTGATTATGAAACTTTTAATTTTAGATAACATCGGAAGAGGTTGTGTCTGCGTTTATAGAACGGTGTAAAGAAGTTAATCCTTACGTAAACGCTGTAATCGAACCACGGTATGAAGTAGCGCTAAGAGAAGCAAGAGGAATAGACAAAATGATAAAGTCAACAGATCGCACACCAGAAGAATTAGAACAGGAATATCCACTATTGGGAATTCCGCTTACTATCAAAGAAAGTATAGCGGTTGAGGGTGAGTTTACAGTTTACAAATCACATCACTATTGATTAAGTTCATTTTTATTGCCTGTAAAGGTGATCCAGGCTACGAATCATCTGATTGCTAGTGGCCACTGTCAGCCAATGGCGAATTAGCCAAGCAGCTACAACTAGTTTGGTCTCACTTCGAACCTCGTTTCAAGGACAGGTCATTGGATTCAAGAAACAACTTGAAAGGAAATTCATTCCAAAGCAAAGACACGAAGCACGACAACTAATATTTGGAAGCGTATTATGAATAACGCAATGCTTCCAGTTAACTTAAGTCCTTCCATAGTCCCAGAGATCCGAAACGAGCCTTGAAATCGTGATTAACGATCCTAGCAGCCCTTTCTGTAATGGATCAAATGGAACTAGCTAGTACCTACTTGGGGGACTTGGTCCAAAAATATGCTATAATATATAATGCCATAATATGCTAAAAACATAAACTCCTGCTATCTTCATGCCATGAGACAAATAAAATTATACCGCCTGCTTAGAGCTCTTATTTTAACAAAATAAATTACGGATTAAAATCGCATATAATGACGTATGCCCAAATTCGGAAGTTTAACTGACAATGCCACAAAGCGTAATCAACAAGGCGGAATGATTGTTAACAGTAATGATTCCAGTATAACAGGTCCATTAAGTAGTAAATTAATGTGTTACAATCATCGTAACAAACAATACTTACAAGATGTTACTAACAAAATTTATCGTCTTCGGTGACCCAATGATATAAGTGGCGACAACTTCTAAATTAATTGATGCTTAGCTATTTATTTAGTTCAGGTATTAGTCAACCGCATACAATGTTTGCAATACATAATTTATTACCCATTAGTAAAAACAAGTAATCGCCCAAGCAGACAGTAATCATTGCCACCTCAAAAATTTAATTCGTTTTATGTATTAAATTTTCTCTTTCGGTTTTTATTGCCTTTTCTTATTGTAAACTATTTAAAAAAGTTTCATTAACGGGAAAAATTATTACGTAATCGCTTGAGAAACAAAGGAAAAAATGTTACTGCTATATTTAATAACTATCTTTATTTTTTTTAAATATAAGCAGATTTTCGTTTTTGGTACACAACTGAATAACCGATTGGTTTTCTTATTTTTCCATTTTTTCGCTGAACGCTAAATCTTCAGCTCTAAATTTACACTATACCTAACGTTTAGGTACATCTGAGGTAACCGAATTTTGGCAATTGAAATTTTGAACAATTGAAATTTCAAGTATGAGCAATTAGCAATGTTGGTAGTCAAAATAAAACAATTGAAATTTCAGGCATGAGCAATGATTGCGGAACGGTATACACAAATAGAAATCCAGCCAAGAAAGACGCGGCTATTGTCAGGCAAGCCAGAGCGGCTGGTGCAATTCCCATAGCTGTAACCAGCACACCTCAGTTGTGCATGAACTGGGAAACATACAATAATGTTATAGGAGTAACGATGAACCCTTACGATCCGAAACGTACAACTGGAGGCTCTTCGGGGGGCGAGGTGAGAACTGATCTTTTTAATACTATAAAAACTCCATCAATAAATTGTATTCCGATTGTTTTCAATTTCACTTAACTTCATATTCTAACGATATAAAAAAATACTAATTGAATGTTACCGGAACTTATAGTCACAACAATATCCATGTTAATACAGAATCTAATACATTGTATCTAAGTTTGAATCACGTTGGGGTAACCGGTGATCCTACCTTTCAAACCAGCACTTGTGAGTATATCGCGACAAAAATTACTGTCAAAATAGGTACGATGGGAACATCCGCCCACTGAATAATATTAACAGTACAAAGTCGATTTTTTTCCCCATACCTATTTGCTGATAGTCTAAGGGACTATTCCAGCTAGACTCTGGCTAGTAAGTGAGCTAACGGATTCAACCGGCGAGAAACTCAGAGCGCTGTCTGTGGGTCAGTTCGCCCATCGAAATCGACGAGTTTGAAGAGGAATGTGAATGATTAAAGTCAATCAAAAGCTTATTGAGCTAAATATAAATCTTGTCCTAGACAAAGGGTTTCCATATGTAAATGCATGTTTTCATGCCTTCTTGTACCGAAAAATATTTATTGTTCAAGTTCGTTGATCTCATTTATGCTAATTTCACTAACAATATACAAGGAAAATGCGCTTACCACTTTAAATTAAGCACAAACAAAAGATCCTTTTGAAACAATAGCAGTGATTTTTATCATCTTTATTCGTACTGTTTATGGTGGGTTTTTTTTTATTACGTATATTCGGTTTTCAGTCGGCCTTGATTTCTTCAGCAGCATCGCTAATAGGACTCGGATCGGATATGGCTGGGTCCCTTAGATTGCCTCCTATGTTCACTGGAATCTATGGACACAAACCATCACCTAGATTACTTTCGATTGAAGGTAATGTCAACAATTTCGTATTAATAAGGGAGTAATCATTATATATTTTCGAAAATAAATCTCGAAAATTAACAAGTTATAGTTTTTTTATATACTATACCATGAGCAACGGTGGTGGCTATCGATCGCATGAGTCACAAGCTTGACGTGACTTCATTGCAGTGACCATTTTTTTGTCGTCGCGGTCGGTTCCAATGATTTGGAACAGGCACATACGAAAGTAAAAGTTAATTTTGTTATCTCTGATAATAATTTAAACCCACACATACAGCAATTGCAGTAATCCCACAGCAAGCCGTAGTCCCATCAAGTCAGGTGCACGAACCCTCAATGACATATCCGACCGCTATCATTCCTCACCATAATTGCGTTATTTCTGGTTTCTAGATCATAACAATTCATCATTATTGATTACATATTTTAGGACACATACCAGACTGCTTGGATCCTGATTTTGAAGAATATTTCACTCTTGGTCCTTTAACACGCTACGCCGAAGATTTAGCACTTATGTTAAAAGTTTTAAAGAAACCTGGAAGCCCTGACATACCTTTCGATAAACCGGTGAGAGTTCTGATTTTTTACATTTAGAATCTTTAAAAAGTACATGCACATGTACTTAATAAAAATAAGTTTGCACATAACAATGAAGAAATAGGTTGTTAATATGATCATTTTAAATTTGGATAATGAGCGAACAGCGGGCATTTATCGCTAACCTTCCCGCTCGCCATATTTTAAGTTATGTCTTAACTATTATGAGCATAGTTTTTAGCTAACGGAAAGTTGCCTATTTCACTAGATTCAAAATATTTCTAGCTGTTGAAGTCGTCGTGACCCGGACAATAAGATGTATCACGTATCAGCGATATAATGATATAAGGTTTTAAATCTTGCCGCTAGGTAGGTACAATTTTGGCTAAGGAAGCGTATGCTTAACATTTCTTAACGAATTTGGATCAAATATGTTCCCAACAAATAAAATACTTGAAACAAACCTGTTCAGATACATGATGTCTATGTGCTTCCAAGAGGATAACCATTTAAAACCAGGCGGACCGTACTACCATTCTTAAGTAAAAAAAAGTCATCCTTTTTATAAGAACTTAATATAATAGAACTTAATATAAGAAATAGAAAATACCGAGCACGCCTGGCTAACTATAACAAATTACAGGTTGACGTATCAACATTGAAATTCTATTACATGGAAGGTGATGGCAGCAACGTTTCCGATTCCATTGGTCGTGACGTCAAGATGGCTATGCACAAAACGCGGGAGTACCTCAAACAAACCTATAATATTGAAGCGAAACCGGTCAGTATTTAATATACATATAAAAGATTCAATAATGATTTAATCTTTATACTCCTGAAGTAGCATTTGTAGGCAGCGGCTTGGCTTTGCTCCTGGGATTGCTGAAATATGGATATCAGCAATGCAGGTAGCCACTCACTATCAGGTGGGCCGTATGCTCGTCCATAGATAATACACATAAATTAGTGCTCATCTGCCTACACGGGCAATGAAAAATAAAATATAAAAAGTAACAAACATTTCACAACATTTTACATTTGGACAAAACTATACACATCAAAATTGTATTAAGCAATTTTAACAATAGAATAAGTTGGGGTGTTCATTAATACGTCTCCAGTACTAAGACATATATTGATCAATCGAAGATCTTCTCAGTGGGTCGCGATTCTGATCCGGTGGTACATTCAGCGAGACACTGGTCTTGTTAGAGCTAGTGTTAGCAAAGTCTCCAGGCTGAGCCCCGTAAATTCGCCTACACGTCCGGTGCAGACACAACCCCTCGAGATTGCTAGCAATAAGTAGGGAAAAAAATCAATGATACGATTGATTAAAAATTATTGATTATTATTATTCAGAAATCTTAGACTTTAAGGTCACCTTATCCTAAATTGTTACTGTTGATCATCTGTAAGACCCATGTCGCTGCTGAAGATATTGATACTGTATCATCGACAGAGCCTAGGCGGCCAGCTTTGAAAGCAATGGCACGGAGTTTTAGGCACTATTAGGAAAACTGCGCCCAAAACTATAAATATAATTTTTTATAACAATAATCGAATACTATTTACATTTTTTTAAACCAGTCTAGCCCCTGCTCATTGCTGTATAAATTATTGAAAACTCTCGAAACACAGGCAGGCTAAGCTGTAAATTTTCTTAATTATCTTGCGGATTTAATAAACTTCCATATAAGCCTTACGAAAGTAGTGACAAAGTAATCACTCAACCCGGTGGACATACTCCTGTGATGCTCCGTCATACATAATTATAGAAACAAACGACACCTAGGTCAATCGAATCGGTCGAACCATTCGTAATTTATTCGATTATTGATTAAATATACAGATTTATAAATGTAAATGTTTATTACATTATTTTTTTCAGTTAAACATAAAAAATATCGAACACATGTGGGAGATAAGCGTCAGAGTATTAATGAATATAAGCCACGTTCGCAACATCTACACTGATCCGAACAATCCTAAGCAATGGGTATCGATCTGGCCTGAAATCATCAAGAAAATGTTTGGTTTATCGAACAACAACTTTTTTTCTGTTTGCTATGGTCCTTTGAAGAAATTCTTTGATGCCCTACCGAGAAGCTACTACAAGAACCTTCTAACTAAATTCGAAGACATTAAAACTGAATTTGAGGTAATGGAAACATTTTTTTTTATTTTTTTTATTGCTTAGATGGGTGGCCGAGCTCACGGCTGACCTGGTATTCAGTGGTTACCGGAGCCCATAGACATCTACAACGTAAATGCCGCCACCCACCTTGAGATATGAATTCTAAGGTCTCAGTATAGTTACAACGGCTGCCCCACCCTTCAAACCGAAACGCATTACTGCTTCACGGCAGAAATAGGCAGGGTGGTGGTACCTACCCGTGCGGGCTCACAGCACGTCCTACCACCAGTAAAACATAATGCTGCATTACATTATGCAGCGTTTAGGCTCACTGTGCACACATTATTCGTTGTATTTACCATTATGTACTGGTTCATGAAGAAAAACGATTATCTAACCAAACCAAAATTTGACTTAATTAAAACTGCAACTAAATAATTATCTCATGTGTTTTTTTTTTATTGCTTACATGGGTGGACGAGCTCACAGTCCACCTGGTGTTAAGTGGTTACTGGAGCCCATAGACATCCACAACGTACATGCGCCACCCACCTTGAGATATAAGTTCTAAGATCTCAAGTATACTTACAACGGCTGCCCCACCCTTCAAACCGAAACGCATTACTACTTCACGGCAGAAATAGGCAGGGCGGTGGTACCCACACGCGCGGACTCACAAGAGGTCCTACCACCAGTAAGAATTACGAAATAATTTCTTTCTTGTATTCTTTTTTGTATTGTTCCAGACAATTTTATCTGACGATGCAGTTTTGTTGTTTCCGACTTTTCCACATCCCGCCCACTTGCACTACCGAGTGTACTATAAATTTTTGAACTGTGGATATTTAACAATGTTCAATGCATTAGGGCTGCCAGTTACGGCCTGTCCGATTGAAATGTCGAAAAAAGGCCTCCCTGTCGGCATCCAAATTGCGGCAAACAGATACAAAGATCATTTAACTGTGGCGGTCGCTAAAGAATTTGAGAAAGCATTCGGTGGTTGGGCAGCTCCTAACAAAGATTCGGTTACAGTATAGAGTAATATTTGTATCATTAAGACATACATCACACGTGACCATGCTGTATTTTGAAGTATTAAGAATGGTTGATATGATAACACAAAAAAATCGTGTAAAAAATATATATATTTGACCAAATTGGGTTTTTAGTACATAGTGCATGCAATATCTACCTACACAGTTGAAATCAGCTGAGGCTATAATTGCCTAATATTGTCATGAGAATGTCCTATTTAAAAGGATTAGTTCACTTTTCTATTTCCTTTTAATGTGATTTATGTATTGGAAACCCACTATTTAAGTACCGATCTGTGGTTTTATTATTTTTTACTTAGTTTAATGTACCTAATGTAAGACAAATGTAAATTGAAAATAAATATTAAAAATGTGACTAGCGTATGTGTTGCTTTTTCGTCATTTATAGTGAGTAGCAGTAGTGTTATTTTTCTCTTCTTTTCCCATTCCTTTTAATTATACTATCGTAGGTCGTTCCCATCCGCGCGTAGTTGGAATAGTCCCATTGGCTACGATAAGGTAGGTAAAGAAACATCAAATCCTTTCCAATCGGTGCTGACAATACTACATTTTTATACAGTCTGGCCATTAAGATTTACACAATTAAAAGAGAAAAAACCATACATTTCAATTTTGAACCTGTACTAATTATGTTATGAATTATTAATTGCGTTTTTACATGTCTGTGGCAATCTTTGTTAAATATTCTTGTACTATTAAAGTGCAATAAGGTTATAAAGAAGATCGTTTTGCTATAATATGATAATGTTATCAATTAGACTTTATTCCTACGAGGAATAGAGCCAAATTAAATTTTTAAGCGGTCCATTGAATTTGCAGCTTATGAGAAACGTACAGTGTGTTTAATGCGAGTTTTTAACGTTCTCGATAGCGTAAAAGTTAACTCAAATTTTTATGGAGTTGGAACGTTTGCTTACGTTTGCCGCTAGGGGCGCTAGAGGCGCAAAAATCGCACTAGCACACTGGTCATTACCTACTTTTTTGATAACCACATATTATTATATATATTATTATAAACGAATGTTTTATTTTTTAATTGAGCAACTGAAGAAAAAAATTGCAGAACCATCTCAATGAGCGAGTAGGGTACAACGTGGGTATTATCTAGCTGCCTAGTGTTCCTAAAATCTAACAAATACGTGCCTCTCTCCCCGCCTGTTAGCTGTTAAGGGTGACAGGGCCACTTTTTCTTGAAAAGTGTGTGAAAACATCGGCCCGTGTTTAACAGCATACGATCCTTGAACAATTGGTCAATGGAGTTGTAGCGGGTAGCCATCATTTAGCACAAAATATTTAGACAGACGCTTGAATCTCTCTTACGAATTGTATGTACACAAGTTCCGAAGGATAAGCACTTAGACCGAATAGGAACATTTTTACGAACGACTTTCACGATGAAAGAACAATTCTCCTCCTTACGCCGATAATCCTCAATGAGGTCGTGACCTCCCTAAAGAATATTAACGCGTAATAAAAATCAAATCGACATAATTTACACACTCCCGTAATTAGTGGCAGAATGTATAATACACAGATAGGTGCAGCAATCTTGCCTATTTTTACGGCAAAACAGTCGTGCTATCCTCTTTCAATGGTGGGAGGACCATTAAACAATTCAATTGAGACTTCGGATACCTCAAGGCAGACACTGCCTGCTGGATAGCCATTTAACACCAGGTATGCCGGGATATCTTCTACAGCGTTAATAAAATTTAACCGCCGAAACAAAATTATTTAGGATGCTAGTACTACAGACGGATGATTAGTAGTCAACTCCTTAGTAGGAAAAAATCACGCACTGTTATCTGGTCCCAATTTAGGATTCCCTGTGTTATGGTTATCAGAGACTGTTAAACATACTTAGGTATATATGTTTAAATATATACATATATAGATAATAAGCACTGAGACAAAAAGCAAACTAATCCTGTTCATCACACAATGTTTACTCGATGTGCAATGAACCCACGACCCACGACGCAACAATCAGGGCCGCTTAGCACCGACTCAGTCAAAATATTTAAGGCATGTTAACTATGTTTAAAAATATTTAAAGATGGTATTAACTCGACGTTGGTAACAATGCCATCGCAAGAAGCCGATTACAAAATTGAAAAAAAAAAAAGAAGAAGTTAACCTTAATCGCATCTGTTTGTTAACCGATTTTCTTTACCTTTTTTTGCTTGGACATATTGGTGAATTTGTGTTATCAATAAAAAAAATATTGGAATAAGAATAGGATTGATTACTTTTTTTGAAATGTCCTTAACAAAACAAAAGAGATGCAAAACATAAAATGAATTGAATTCCTCAGGTACGTATGATCGAATTTCGATCAATAAGCGAATACAAGTTACATTAATTACGTATTAGGTTCGTAACTTACACAGACCTTGTAACTTTCTGTACCAAGGTTAATCCATGTCTAGGACAAGCACGCGACATTGTGCACTAAGCATTACTATATCACATGTAAGGTTTCCTCGTAGATTATAGTGGCCTCTCAAATCATAATGATGATTGTTGGAAATGTTTGAAAAGCAAGCTTTGAGTTCAAAATTATAGGTATAGCTAAGTAAGTAGATCAATATTTACTTAAATTCGAGAACAATAATTAAATAAATAATTACAAAAATTTTAGCATTATTAACTGTAGCATTATTAACTGTGTGTAACTGATTAAATGTAAAAAATAAAGATCAATAAAACCTTACAAATTTGCGTAAAATACTTTTTTTTTTTATTGCCCTTGTAGGTAGACGAGCATGCGGCCCACCTGATGGTGAGTGGCTACAGTCGCTTATGTACTTCAGCAATGCCAGGGGCAGAGCCAATCCGCTGCTTACCGCTTAATACTCTCCACAAGCCTCGTTTGAAAAAGGACATGTCATAGCGCTCGGGAAACACCGTGGAGGGGAGCTCATTCCATAGCAGGATGGTACGTGGCAAAAAGACTTCTGGAAACGCACTGTGGATGACCGCCGTGACTCCAGGTAGTATGGATGAACTCTACTCCGGTGGCGGGCGGTGCGATGGTAAAAATGAGATACCTACTTACTTATGTACTTAATAAATTAAAAGGATTCGTGATAAATTTGAATTTTGCTTTCGCACACGACACCTGCAGAACTAACCTCAGACATCTACTTTTACAAATCTTTAAAAGTTGTACTAAAACGTGGGTAAAGTTTAAGAGTGCTAGGACATCGAAGCCCCGTATATAACAAGAAAAAAAGAAATTTTAGTTTTAGCACTAAAATATTTTTTACAGGGTTTATAGATGATTCAAATTGTTTTATTCTGTTAAAGGCAAGGGAACGTAAAATACAAACAAATATTAAATTATAATTACAAATTATACATATTAAATATATCATGTAATAAATAGGATTAATTGTGTATTACCGATAAAATTCTTAATATAAATACAACGTATAGGTACTTAAAAATGTTTAAACATAATAATATGTATCTATGATATTTCCCTGATTATGTATTATTATGTATCATAGCCTTATAATATATAATATACATATATAACATACCTTATAATAATTCTTCTTCATCTTTTTTTGAAGTAGGTTCCAAATAAATCCTCATTAGTGAATAGAAATTTGTTTGTGCCTGCGACATTACAGTAGATATCACTTGCGATTTTATGGATATGGATATTAGGCTCATATATTTGCTATAGAAATTTAGACTATGAGGCACTATAGATTGTAGGGCGATCTAGGTTATAGAACAATCTAGGTTACAGTTTAGGTCTGAAAGGTTTTTCATAATCGAACCGCAAATAATTTAAGCTACCATTTCCATAGTCCTTACTGCATGTGATTGAAACTACGATACCTACCATTCTAGTTGCCTCCTGAAAACATAAAGATTTCCACAAAAACACGGCTTGGTCGTGCAGACCGTGAAACGCGTGGAATGGCGTACAAATAAGGCGGATCTGTTCTAGATTTCTAGATTCGATTGTTGAAAAGTGTAAAAGAACTCTACCAGGCAACACTTCCAAAACTTAATAGGGAACACGGAGCAAGGGCACCGAATCACAGCACTATTGACAGTAAAATACTAAGATACTAGTCGATACCTAGATCCTTACAAGTACAAATCTTTCAAAAGCCAATTTAATATGCTAGAAATATTTTGGCAACGAAATTTTTTTTAAACCGATTTAAAGCGATAGAAACAATTAAATTTAATTTAATTTAAATATAGGTTCGATTATGTACATACATACATTCAAACAAACCCTGTTTGAAATTTACATCTTAAAAATTGTTCCAAATTAAATAATATTTAATATCTATTACAATATTATGCTTTCAGCCTATTTAGTCAAATTAATTTATAAAAGTTCACAGCTGAGTCATACTTGTAATAGGGAATATACGTACATAAGTTGGTAAGATATTTTTATAATTTGATTGAATGGGAATGACAAATTGACAGATCTGTCATTTGCAATTGATGAGAGTATGTATGAAAATTAGGATTAATTTTTCCGTTTAGACTACTAATTTAATGCATAAATAAATTATTAGTAAAAATTCGAAGTTTTTCAAGACGAATGTAATTTTACCTAAATTTTTGTGCTAATAGTCAAATAACGCACGCGCAGAACGCCCATCGCCCAAAAATCTCCCAGCGCCATATTGAGAGAGGCGGACGTTGTATGACTTGAGTGAATAATCGTGGTTAGTGCAATAATTTGAAGTGGAACATTTGATCGTGCCCTATGGATATATATTCGGGTACGTAAAGAACGGAACAGTGCACTTATAAAATATCTAAATTAGTGTAAAGCGCCTGAAACAACATCGTAACCTAGTCTTGGCCGTTCTAGTTATCAGTAGATTACTTAGGTATCATCAACCGCTGTTTGCTCGCAATTTTAATCTTATTAATACACACGTGCTGGGAATAGCCGTAGGTTTCTTGAATCTAGTTACATTAATGAGATTATACGATCGACCTGCAAGGTTCCACATTCGTATAAAAACGGATTTCGAAGTGTTTATGTCGGCAGTTGACAGAAGCGTTTATGTATATGACCGATCATAAGTCACCACACCCAGTGACCGGATTGTCGGTTTTAGTATTTGATAGTTTTTAGTTCGGATGGTTCGCGCGTCGTCGCGTTGGTATGTCATTGTGATGTGATCTATAAGTGCTGTGATTTAGCGTGTGCTCAGAAGTGTAATGTATAAATGTAATTTCTAGGAGTGGTGTGCCTCGGTTGAAAGGCCTGCCGAAAGGACAGGGCTCCGCGCGAGAGGACAGATTGCGGCCCTCCGCTCTGAAAAATCATGGAGTGCTGCATGTCAGAAGAAGCAAAGGAACAAAAAAGGATCAATCAAGAAATAGAGAGGCAACTCAGAAAGGACAAACGAGATGCCAGAAGAGAACTCAAACTGCTCCTACTTGGTGAGTACATCCACTAACTATAGCATTCCTTTTTTCGTTTTATATAAAGTACCAAATCTGTATTTACTCTGTGTCCAGGTAACTGCATACTCTTAAATTACATTAAAGGAATAGAAATCTGGCAAAGTGTTGCATACAAGTAAAAAACACAAAATAATAATTTGATGCAACAATTAATAAGCTCAATTATGTAATAATATAAGATTTTTGTTTTATAACCAATCTAACCTAACCTTGATTATACTATAATATGTTGTAGTACTAGAATAAAGAATGCCTAGTATAGTAGAAGAATGTCAAGTGACAAATTAAATTTCATGAAAATAATGCTTATTAAAAACTAAATTAAAGAGTTTAAAAAAGTTTATTTTTTCATTAGAGTAGTATATGATTTAATGGTCCAGTTCTCAGGCCCCTATGCAGATTTTATAACAAACCCTCACTTCCTCTAAAAAATACTAACTTACCCACCTTGAGGCAGGAACTTCAAATCTGAATTACTTATATTTGAGTTATTGGCTATCCTCATAATTGCTTTGAAAGAGATATTGGTGGGACAATATAACCAACTCTTGGGTCTTAGATCATGCCCAGCCGCCAGTGTATAAAAAGTTTAAAATCATATCAAACCTTCATTGTGACTGTTGATTAATTTACATTTAAATTTATAAATAAATAAATCCAATATTATGTTAATATAAATTCCTATATTATATTTATTATTCATTAAAATCAAAATTAGAATTTCCAGTTTTGTTTTCCATAAGTAAAATGATAAAGTTGACACTGAACTAATAGTACCTACTAAGTTCAAAATATGTCTGCAAATACATATAGAAAAATTAATAATTTTCTAAAAAAAATTATTTAATATTAATCAAATACTATCTATCAAAATCTATTAAATAGAGCTTGTAAAACATGCAAATAATAAAAATACTAAATTCTTTAAAATTTGAAAAATGAGAAATTGATATAGTTCATGTTAATGTTATTATTTGTGTTTTACTTAGTAATAAATTGGTGGAAAACTAGAAAATCCCATAAGAGAAGTTAAATGTCTTTAGAAAAGTTGTATTTTACCACACAAAAAATTAATAACTTTTTTCCTAAAAGCAGAAAATAGGTACCACAAGTACAATTGTAATGTCTATATAAACATACATATTCAAACCTATAATGTCTATAAACTTATATATTAAATACAATATGTAAGTATCAGTATGGTTCTTATGGTATAGTGATGAAGCCTATTTATGGGTTTTTTTAGATAACTGAACTATTTGCCTCTCATTACTTATTATTTATAACTTTTCCATAAGAACACATTAAATTATTACTTCAAAGAACTGTGGAATTTATTGATATTTCAATAAATGTTAATAAATATTAGAATGTTAATGCTTAGTGACGACTGATGAAACTAAATAGTTGGTAAGATATAATTTTTTGCTTCTTATGTGAGTTGAGTTTAAGAAATAGTAATATGTTATTGTAAGTCTAAGTTACATATCAGAATATTCATAAATTTAAACTTATAAATAGGCACCTGTTAGGATGTATCTCATTCCTGTAAACCTCACAAATATTTTACGAGTAAGATTGATTTCCTCAAAATTTTGCCAAGTGAAGCATGACTCATGAGGTATTCACTCTTTCAAAATAGCTTTGTTCTATCTTTCTAAATGTTTTTAAATAACAGAAGAGATAATAAACAATTTCTTCTCTAAATTGAAATGTCAATTTCCATATTAAAAGTGTTATTTGTAATCTTACAAATAAATTTGAATAAACCCAAACATTTTATTGCTAATTTTGAATATTTCGAACACTGTATATTTTTGCAAACAATATTTAATATTAAGTATACAACTGAAATATTCACATTAATAAAATAAAAACAACAGTAAAATGAGTCTTATAGTTGTCTTATAGTATTGACATTCAATGTAAATTGCAAATCATGAGTCAAGAGGATCAGCGACCCAATTATACTATGGGCGACTATTTCTCAAAATAAAGACATGGGATGGGGCACATAATTATAAAACAAAACAGCTTATTACAATGAATTGGGAATGTAATTGTTTAATCACAGTAAAAGTATGAGTGAGGGATGAACATGTAGAATTTCTTTACAACCTGCGGGAAGGGTCATGTGCTCCGTACAAGCGTTCGAAACTATAAAAGTCAGATTATTGGTGGTAGGACGTCTTGTGAGTCTGCACGGGAAAGGTACTACTGTCCTGGCTATTTCTGCCCTGAAACAGTAATTCGTTTCCATTTGAAGAGTGGGGCAGCCGTTCTAACTGTACTGAGACTTTACAACTCGTGTCTCAAGATGGGCTGCGGAATTTACGTTATAGATGTCTATGGGCTGCGGTAACCACTTATCACCAGATGGGCTGTGAGCTTGTGCACCCCTCTATACAACAAAAAAAAAATGCCAATAATGAGTTCACAGTGAAAGAGGTCATCCTAAATGCACAGAAGTTGTTCTTTATGTTCCTGCCTTTCCTGCCAGTAATCTACCTCATCATCCCAGATAGTGTTTTTGTTAATATTTATTATTAAAATATATTTTAAATCTTTTGAGGAAGTTACATAGAAAATACTTAAATTGATGTGCTATCTTAGTATTCTAGCATTTATCCTAATCAATCATCAATTTAATATATTAATTTAGTAAATATATATATATGTTAGTTCTTGTAGATTCAAACATACATTATTTCTAGTTAGAATATTAATTCTCTGAAAAGTAATAAAGTCAGATTATAAACATTTTTGTGACATTCAATAATTCAAAATGTTCACACATTTTATATTACATCATATTAACATTAGAATTGTGATAACAGGAAATAAATTGAAATTACTTGATTTATATAGAAGAGCAAAACAAGTTTACCCCGTTTAATTGCCATTTATTCTAAGATGTGTTCATGTTCAGGTGTCGGCATGTCAGGTCATGCTCTGAATCATTTTGTTCTAACAATATAGCCGTAAGAGGTCCAGCACTTGAATGTATGGAACCGGTGAAATTATTTATTCCCACTAAACGTAATTTTCGCGTTATGATAGTAATGAAGTAAAGACGGAGACATTAATTTCTCGAAATATAAAAGATGATAAAAATCCATAGTACATTTTTCTAAAACATTATTTAAACTCTGAGGTGATAAATGATACATTTTTAGTACATGGTTTCTGCGATTTTACACACCCAATATTACGATTCTAGTTTCCATATTTATTTCCTTAGTCCATACGCCAAAAATGCATTTGCTGTTGACAACGACATATCTATAACTAATATATAAATCTACAGTGATTATTACGGATGTTCTGTTATAAACACTGAACCATGCATCCGATTGATTTGAAACGTGGTATCCATGTAGAAAATACATGTACTTAATGGATAGGCTAAAATTTATATGAGTGTTGGACTCCCTAATAATAATGACAATAAATAATAATGTCAATTTTAAATGCCCAGCGAAGCGGGCCAGTGCGGCTAGTAACTTTATAAAAGCAATGAGAAGTAGAGAATAATCGGACACATGCTTACAAATTTCAAACGATGACAGATATTTTTATCTAAGTGTGACACGTCGAGATACGCAATCAGTTACCTGAGTGTTTGTTAACAACAGGAACTGGAGAGTCGGGCAAATCTACTTTCATCAAGCAGATGAGAATCATCCACGGCTCGGGTTATAGCGACGAAGACAAACGTGGCTTCATCAAACTCGTTTACCAGAACATCTTCATGGCGATGCAGAGTATGATACGCGCCATGGACCTACTAACAATACAATATGGGAACCCGTCCAATGTAGTAAGTATATTAATGGCTAAGATACTGAGAATTTAGCGAATAAAAGCACATATAGAATAATATAAGGTAAAAAGTAAAAATAACTTTGTTATTCTTCCAATGACATAAAAGAGGGCTTATGGTATTAACTGACGTATATTTTCTGGTTGTAAGTAAATTCTAAAGACGGCGACTGACCGGTTCGCATTCATGTAAAATGTGGGTAGGTACTTGTTTTGTTTGTTGTTGATTTCTGACGAATCCTTTATAGGTGTTACGTCTCAACTATACAGAAGAGCTATAAAAGCGTCGTCGCGCCCATATTGTTCAATATGATGTATCTAAATAGTACAAATGTGTATTTTTTTTAAATAAATATATTGGCGTAAAACAATGGAATAAAACAATAAGAACCGTTGTATTCGTGTACCATTAACAAATTAGCTAACTAGCAGACCCGGCAGACTTCGTAGTGCCTCAATCGATAAAAAAGACCTAAACTTTCGTATAAAATAAACTTAAAACAAACAAAAGGAATTCGTCCGACGGGGGACACATCAAAGGAAAAACAAAATTGTAATTTTTATTTAATTCCGAGCATTTGCATAGTTATCTACCTTTTAAACCTTCCCTGGACTCCCACAAATAATTCAAGACCAAAATTAGCCAAATCGGTCCAGCCGTTCTCGAGTTTTAGCGAGACTAACGAATAGCAATTAATTTTTATATATATACAGATAGGTCCCTGTACAAATTTGAATCAAATACCGTCTTTATGTTTTAATTTGGTATAAACAATGATGAGTAAAATCACAAATATACGTCTTCGTCACGCGACATTTCGACTAGGTATAATAAATTCGAAACGAGCAATGATACCGGTCAGTCAGTCAGTGATGAGAATGTTTCTTGATCTTAATTATTAGTACATTATTTTACAAGCTACATTTTACTGTGATAATTGTTTCACAAGGGATATCCTAGTATTTTAAAGACTATCATTTAGATGGTTGGACATAATTAAACTTAACAGGAACATTTTACCATCTCTCTCGTACGCGAACATCTTATTGCGATTTCATGAAATTCATTGTTCATTCATTCAGTCATTACTGGTGGTAGGACCTCTTGTGAGTCCGCGCGGGTAGGTACCACCGCCCTGCCTATTTCTGCTGTGAAGCGGTAATGCGTTTCGGTCTGAAAGGTAGGGCAGCCGTTGTAACTATACTGAGATCTTAGAACTTATATCTCAAGGTGGGTGGCGGCATTTACGTTGTAGATGTCTATGGACTCCGGTAACCACTGACCCAGGTGGGCCGTGAGCTCGTCCACCCATCTAAGCAATTAAAAAACAATTTTTTTTATGTAGCTCATTCATTTCAAACAGATTAATATAACATTCTGACAGTTTTACATTCATTTGTTTTCTTTATTTAAATTAGTGATGAAATTTCGCAATGTAGATAACCTAAGTTATCTAAAATACAAAGTTTTATTCGTTTTCATAGACGACACTCGATTTAAACCAAATTATAAACCTATTTAATACACATAATCGGTTCTGTGGTGATAGTTACTGATAACAATACTAGATTCGTAAATTAAATACAGTTTGAATATCATAACAACACAAAACGAAACAAAGTATGATATTATAATTTAATTACAGGACACGATTTAGGATTCTCTTATCTATACTAATATATAAATCTATAGTGGTTTTTACGGATGTTCCGTTATAACTACTGAACCACTCATCCGATTGACTTGAAACTTGGTATCCATGTAGAAAATACATGTGCTTAATGGATAGGTTAATATTTATATGAGTGTTGGACTCCCTAATAATAATGACAATAAATAATAATGTTAATTTTAAATGCCCAGCGAAGCGGGCGAATACGGCTTGTATTTAATAAAATGACGCTTTTAACATGACATGACATATCTAAATATAGTACAATGATCTGAATTACAGGAAAAGGCGGAATTGATATCATCGATCGACTTTGAGAGTGTGACAACGTTCGAGAGTCCGTACGTGGAAGCTATCAAGGGCTTATGGGCCGATTCCGGCATCCAGGAATGTTATGATCGCAGGCGAGAATACCAACTTACTGACTCGGCCAAATAGTGAGTACACTTGTCCCCACGAATCGACGACCTCAACGACAAATAATATATCCGTAAAATTGTCAATTTGTCAATGGATGGAGAGCAGTATAATCGTTAGCCAATTCAATTGAGACTTTAACCTCATACCCGAAAGACGAGGCGTACTATTCATATATTCAAAAGTTCTTTAAAAAATTCTCAAAGACCTCTGCGAAAATAAAAAAAAAACCTTTTATAACCCATAAAACTGGCCAACGGTAGCCAGTAGTATAATAACAGTCATGAATTAAATATGCAAATCGTAATGTTTGTTTAAACGTGATTGTGTACAGTAAATCATTATCGCACGCCTAACACTTTATGGCGCTAGTAAACAGAGCCGCCGTTCCGGATTGTTCAAGAAACTGATCTAATGACACAAATACGATTGATTTTATACGTTATAAATGGCCCTCTCCGTCTTCTAACACCGGTAACATTATGTTGATTCTGTTAGTTTTATCGGCGCAATGTATTCATTTATTGTTTTCAAATCAATTTTTTTTTATTCAACATAAATGAAAGTACATACTTGTTGAACGTCAAAAAGAACTACCGCCAATTCACAAAAACTAGCCTCCGTCCTGAGAAGAACTGGCAAGAAACTCAGCGGGCATGTTTTTTTTTTTTAAATATTAGATTTTTTATATTTTAAATGTTCATTTTAATGATGAGTATTGTAACGTAACAATTATTGCAATATTGAAATGCCCGGAGCGAGCAACTCATTCCCACATTGTGCAATCTTCTTTTCGCTCGTTATAATGAGAAAAGAACTTTTTCTTCAGCTACTTGCAGGAGATCGACCGCGTCGCAGCGCCAAATTACCTACCAACCGAACAGGATATCCTCCGTGTGAGAGTTCCCACAACGGGCATCATAGAGTACCCATTTGACTTGGAGGAAATACGATTTCGGTAAAACACGTGACGTCATCATCGATGGCATGCTTCGCTTCTATGTGCATGTTGTGGGGACTGTTTCGATGTTTCATTCGGAGGTCGACTGTTTATTTAATAGGGTCGTGCATGTTTTCGTTTGTGTTTCGCTTACTAGTGGTGCATGGTGTGATTTTTCAGTTATTTAAGCGATCTGGCAAGGATCGAAAAAGACGATTACTTGCCAACCGAACAGGATATCTTGCGAGCCCGACAGCCGACAACCGGTATACTCGAATATCCGTTCGATCTCGACGGAATTATATTTAGGTATGACTCGCGAAGGTACATCGATAGAGATGCTAAAACCCTGTAAGCTCGATTAACAAAAATATCGATTTCTAAACGCCGTTTGAAGTATGAGTATAATATATCCAATTAATGTAGATTCCAATGCGGTTGTAATGCTAATAACTTAACTTTATCGCTATTGTTTATTTAATATGACATCGTGATTCACAATTTCAATAATAATAATTGCCCACAATGCTTTGTAAAAACGATATTAACATATCTATTAACATTGCAGTAATATTTCATTCTAATATCTTCTAATGATTCTCACTCAACAGATAGTTTTTTTTTTGTAAGCTTAGATTCCATTCGCATCTCTTGTATTCCCATTAAGTAGTTAGATCCTTATTCAATTAGCACCACGTCAGTAGATTCGAGCTTTCTAACTTAAGTTTGCCAGATAACCACAAAATATTAAATGCACAAATACTAACAATAACAATAGAACATCAGTGCTATGATTATGCAGTTTAACAAAAAGTAATCTAATATAATGTTACGGGCTTATCTAATACATAATATGTAAAAAAAAAAACGAAAATTAGATTGTAAATTTTTGATATTTTTTATGAGAGTAACGCAGTCGATTTGTGAACTCCAAAATTAAGTATGAATCGAGATATAATGTCAAGTCCTACTTTTTGTTCGTCATCTATGGTCACCCTACTCATTCCACGTGACTCAAACTGCAATGTTTTCCTGCGTGCAAAGGTTATCAATCACACGTGTGCAAGTGATCGTTTTAAAGTATTAATTCAGCGCTTGAATAATGTATAGTCTTTTTAGTATGATTATAGCCTAATTAATTTTTTCAATGTTCTTGCCTATTCATACACAACGATATTATCCATCTAGTCAGCAAATTTCTAAGAGGTTATGTGCTAGTTTAATTTTGTGACTAATGCGAATCGTAACGTAGTGTGACCAAGAATTTAAAAGAAATCGATGCAAGTAATTTAAAATCGATTCACTATCAAACGAACCTTTGATAAAAAATAGATCGAAGAACATTTCAGCACTTTGCTGTTTTCAATTGTTTCACTTTTTGTTTTTTTTTTTTGCATCTTTAAGTCTAATTTTAAATGAGGGAACTCAACACATTTGCTGAGTAGTCCTTATTAGCAGTGAAAAATCTATAAGGCGCACATTGTCCGGTCGTATCGGTCCCAATGAGTTTCTTATTTACGTCAAAACGTACTGCAAATCTATTTTGGGTCAAGCTACGAATCACTTATCTTCTAACGCGACTATCATAGAGTGATGGAGAAACTTGTTGGAACTGCTTAGACTTTTAATATACGGCCGAACTTAAGACCAAGCGGCAGTTAACTATGAACAAGGTCAATCAAAGACTTGTAGATAACGCTAGGTAGATGATACATTTAAAAAAAATACCGATTTAATAACACTTTATTTTTGTAACAAATCTAATTTTAGTTTTTACTGATAAGGATGCATGTTGTAAATAGCAAGTACAATTAATCTCGTGATAGTTGTAGGCGTCAATTTAAAGTTGTATATAATTGCATGTAAAGCATGTTTATTTGATGTTTTTTTTATAACATTTTATTTTTAACAATGTACATTAATGCATGAATTTATTGATATGGTCTATTATCTACAGAATGGTGGACGTCGGGGGCCAGAGATCCGAAAGAAGGAAGTGGATCCATTGTTTCGAAAACGTCACATCCATCATATTCTTAGTAGCTCTTAGTGAATATGACCAAATTTTATTCGAATCAGAGAACGAGGTGAGTTTTGTTACAAGTTACTTTTTCGCTAATTCTATTAAAAAAAAACTACGGCCAAAGTTAAAAGGATTTTTCTTCGTTTAAGGAATCCGTTTGAGGATTAGTCTTGGTTTAAAATGATTCTGTAAAATATATTATGATCTCATAATCTAATTATACCAAATTATAGTTTGCCAGGATGTAGACGAGTTAGTGTTTCCGTTTCGAAGTCCAACACGTGTATTTTTATCTTCCAATTTGTGCGTCGGACGTTTGCTGAAAATATGTGCTCTTATTAAATTTGAACTGAAATAATTACATACCGATAACTATTTCAATTGATAAACGGCTTGAATATCTCCTTTCACTTTCATAATATGAAACTCTCCTAAAACTTGTAATACCTATTCGATTTTAAAGCATTCCAAAAATGCTTCGGTCAGACTGTAATGGCTTTTTTTTATTGCTTAGATGGGTGGACGAGCTCACAGCCCGCCCGGTGTTAAGTGGTTACTGGAGCCCATAGGCATCTACAACGTAAAAGCGCCACCCACCTTGAGATATAAGTTCTGAGAACTCAAGTACAGTTACGGCTGCCCCACCCTTCAAACCGAAACGCATTACTGCTTCACGGCAGAAATAGGTTAGTGGTGGTACCTACCCGCGCAAACTCACAAGAGGTCCTACCACCAGTAAAACCGAAAACCGGCTTTCCATGAAAACCGTTGTAATTGAAAACGCTTACAAATTTAATCTTGCATTTATCATCATTCATCAATATCGTTCTACCGGGATTTAAAATGCTATATAAAATAAATGCATAAGTAACACAACACACCAGTTTGACTAATGTCTGACTAGCCTATTTTTAAAACTGCACAAAAATAATGCCTTTAATTGTCTCCAAAATTGTCTTTAAACGAGAGTACTATATTTAAAGACAGACTCGGTGGTGCAATAGTTAGTGCTCCTGACGGTTGCGCCCAACGTCGTGGGTTCGATTCCCACATCAGGCAAACTTTGTGTGATGAACGGATTGATCTTTGTCTGGGTTTTATTATCGGTATATGTACAATATATTTAAACATATAAAAGTATGTTTATCAGCCTCTGTTACCCACATCACAGGGAATTAAGGCCTGATGACCGTGCGTGATTTGTTTCTCGTTATTAAAAAAAAATAATTGACATAACGCGTTTTTCTTTTGTTTTTTTTTAATAAAATCCTCGACCACGATTACAAATCTTTGTTCTATATACATCGTTCGTATAACTACCTACCACTTAATTTGGAAATGCACATACAAGCTTAGTATTTTCTTCGGCTTGCACTAGTCGTAAATATCATTAGACTACTTATACGATTTAATCTCCTTTTTTTTTTAAACATCTGTAAAAAAAAATGGTACGCGTGCAACTTGGGGCACGTGAAAGAAGTTTTACTTCTTTTCCCGTATGTAGTGTTGTGGTTTTCTTGGGACGCTCTGTCCATTTTCTCACTCTCACTCTTACTGGCTTTCTATACCTATCTTTTCTCTCTAGCCGTAACGAATCTGTCGCGAATTCATTTTTTTTCCCCTACCTAAGCTGATAGCCTTAAGAGGCTATATCAGCGTCCCCTTAACTAGTAGGTGAGCTTACGGGGCCTGATGACGTTGCTAACACGGACCCTAGCAAGAGCCGTACTTCGCAGAATCTACCACCGGATCGGAAACGCGACCCACTGAGAAGATCCGGCGAGAAACTCAGTGGGCTGTGTCTGAGGGTTAATTTACTCGTCGAGCCCTTCGTCGCTTGCGACGGGTTCGACGAGGACGATGACCGGTGCTTGAAGTACCTAGAAGCACCGTTAGTGGATCGAGAGGATCCGAAATGACGTGTTTGGGGCGACGTCGACTGCTTTCCATTCTGTCCGCAGGATCGGGAATATTCAATATTACTCTCAACGCGCCTAAAGAAGTTTCACTTCAAAAACACTAGGGTTAACCCGTAAAAGTAGTTTAACAGTATCTACGTGGTTGGTAAACGGAGAGTCTGAGATACACGTTTTCGATTATTCTGAATACATGAACAACATGGTTTGAAGAGTGGGGCAGCTATACATTTTGTTAAATGACAGTCTCACTTTACGATATCTATACTAATATTATAAAGAGGAAAGATTTGTTTGTTTGTTTGTATTGAAGAATAGGCTCCGAAACTACTGAACCGATTTAAAAAATTCTTTCACTGTTTGGAAGCTACACTATTCCCGAGTGACATAGGCTATAATCTTTTTTGAAAAAATTATGGGTAAAAATCCAATAATGTAACCAAAGGTGTAAAAAATTACCTAAAATATTCTTTAAATCGCGTACCCTGCGAAAACTGCTGATGATAGAATAAAATAATGTACTACGACTTTGTAGAACACATTATTATTTACAAAAAGTGTCGTGACAGCATATGTCTAACTATTATAGTTATGCCGCAATAAGTGTTTTATTATTTTAAAAAATAAAACTTCAAATGTTGAAATTTTGTTAAAGACCCGACCGGAGCCGGAGCGAGCCGCTAGTCTTATATAAGTCTTATTTCAAATGAAACTAATAATATTTTATATCGTTCTCACACAGAATCGAATGGAAGAATCGAAAGCATTGTTCAAGACCATCATAACGTACCCGTGGTTCCAGCACTCCTCGGTCATTCTGTTTCTCAACAAAAAGGATTTGCTCGAGGAGAAGATTATGTATTCTCACCTTGTTGACTACTTCCCTGAATACGACGGTATGTAATTAACATATTTATAATAATATTAGTTAATATACACGAAGAAGATAAGTGAATGAGGCCCATTGTGTTTACCAATTATACAATAATAAATAAATAAAAACGATCAGTTATAGTAATGTTCGGTATTGCACTTTTACATACAGACAGATATAATTTTAATGAAATGTTGTTGTTGTAATCAAAACTTGACGCATATATAGGTCCGAAATGCGACCCAATACCGGCTCGAGAATACATTCTACAAAAGTATCTGAAGGAGAATCCGGATCCGGATAGGTCGTGTTATTCGCATTTCACTACTGCAACAGGTTGAATTAAGTCAACGGTTTATTTGTAAAACATTGTACTTGGGCCATTATAAACGTGCGAACTGAGTCATAAATCATTTTTATCAGACCTCTCGCTCACACTTATAGGCATATCGGATCTCTCGCTCACACTTGTAGTGTTGTGTGTACAAAACTTAAATCAATATAATTACAGAAAAAAAACCGTATTTATTAAAAAAAAAATCCGGGTGACTTTAAACGCTATCAACACATTATGAATAACCGACAGAGTTTCGGCGTTAATATCGCCCTTTAATTTTAACAAAGTTTAGTTATCGTATAATGCTTCCATGGTTCACGTAGGATTGTCTAATGATAACTCTCTGGTAGAGACAGCGGCTTGGCTCTGCCCCTGGCATTGCTGAAGTCCATGGGTGACGGTATCCACTCATCATCAGGTGGGCCGTATGCTCGACTGCCTACAAGAGCAAAAAAAACATATTTTTTACAAACCTACAACGTACAAATTATATGTACCAGTCATCAACGACCACGTCATCTGCCTAGCTGAACCCGAGTGTCATCCCTTTATCGATATCGAGTTGCGCGGCATTGTCGCATTCCTTTGACGTAATGTTTTATAACTCAACGCGCACGTTTGTAATGGCCCAAGTATAGTAGTACAATTTGTAGAGCTAATAATTTTGTGTTATACAGTAACGGAATGATAATGTTGGTTATCTCAAAGTCTAGATTAGCCAGCATCGCGATACCGCTATACATCTTGTTAATGTTTTGTAGCATAGTTCGAAAAGGTAAGATGTACTCACGAGATGTTAAAAGGAATTAAAAAAAATTACTTGTCATTTCGCTACTGTGTTTTGTTATTCTGCTAAGTCACATGATATTAAACTCGACATGACGAAGCATAAAGGTTGACATGTTTTCCTTTAGTTTTTCATTTACCTCTAGACTAATTATAGATTATTTTAATTTCAATGCTAAAATTGTTCACTTTTGTTAAAATCATGGAAAAATCGACCTTATGCTTCCAATGTCGAGAGTTGTCAGTCGAAATCCTTTTGAGTAAGCTATGTAGTAACGCTAGTAGTGTGACGTGTGTGTGACGTAACAGGCCCGCAACGCGATGCCAATGCGGCGCGCGAGTTCATTCTGCGGATGTTCGTCGACTTGAACCCGGACGCGGAGAAAATCATCTATTCGCATTTCACATGTGCGACAGGTAGGTCATATTATGTCATAAAAAATATATTGTTGTCTGTAAAGTCGGTTTACGGACGATAGTTTTACGTGATAACGTCAGTAGCAGAACTATTCGAACTGCTAGCTCTGACGTCACGCGAGAAGAGAGGTAAATGTGTCACAAGCCAACGCTTGGGCCGATCGTGCCTCTCTATCGCTTGTTCCGCGTTCTCGCTTGCACGCTCAGGCGGAACGTGACTCTTTTTCGTGCGTGCAATCGGTGTTCATCGATGTATAAGACGTTATCACGTAAAAAAAACCAAATAGGCAACACATAATTTTGGATAAATGGTATTGGTACAGTGTCGATGTCCGATGCCCGTGTCTTTTTTAATCAATAACGTTAAAATGAGTTTGTTTGTTCGAACTAGGGATAATCGAATACTAATTTATATCGATATACCATATCGTATGAATTTGTACATAATTGAATCGCTTTTTTATTGGTATATGGATGACCAAATTACAAAAAATCGATTATCGGTAAAACCAATGAAAAGTTTCGATTTTTGCCAACGCTTTTCGTATAACTGAACAAACAATATTATTATGTTAAGTCCTTACAGTTTTCGTAAAAAGACTGTTTAAAAAATCTATGCAAATATTTCTAAAACTGAAATTTTGTAATTAATGTTATATAGACAAGATAATATCAAAGTAGTTTGTTTTAATCAGAACTATATTTGATTATCTATTAAACAAAATTACTGCACTTCGTCAGCGTAACATATTTTCTTCTACTATTTTAAATTAAAAAATTCTTAATGCTATTTGTCGTGATGATATCAAAATTATGAATAATAAGATTTTCTTTAAACAAGTAATTTTAGTTCTTTTCATGATTTTTCAATGTCATCAGAGGTATGTAAGATGTTCCTAATTTCTGTTTTATTTTATATATATCCGCTAATTGCTGTATTTTTTTTTTGTGAATGATGTTTGGTAACCATTAGTACACAAAGTAGATAATGTTTTATTTTTGCACTGCTTTTACTAATTTTGTAGAAATAGAATAGGGTTTTTTCGTGTATGTTGGTATTTAATGTAAATAATTTGTCATTAAAAAACTAGCTTTTTTTAGCTCAGCCTTGTTTCGTGTATGTTGGTATTTTATATAAGTAATTTGTCATTATAAAAATAAAAAGCCTTTTTTTTAGCTCAGAGAAACCAAACACAAGCTCACAGTCAAACTTTATGCTAAGTGGTTATTGAAACTCAAAGACAACGTGAATCACCTTCATTATTGGGACGTCAAATCACAATTCCATAGTACTATTGGTCTATCTTTCAAACCGGACGCATGATTGCTTGTCGATAAAATAGGATAGTGGTACCGACCCATTGTGGGTTTGTAACCAGCCCTTGTGACAGAAATTAGGAGAGCCAACCTAACTCCCCCAGGTTAGGCAGAACAGAGGATGCTGTCAAATGTCATACGGTCGTTATTTTTGGACCAAATTGGACTCGGAAATATCATTAAGAACCTCAGGATCAGTATAAACGTCAAACTAAAACACAGTATTGTATATATGCGAATTGATGAAGAATGTTGCTATTTGGCAACGCTGCCTAATTCTGCAACGAATGCGTTCCAATTTGAATCAAAAGGCCATTATTATAAGATCAATATTTTATTTCTGTCTATGGTACTAGTAACCGCTTAAACCTCGGGTAGACCATGCATGAGGTCATAGAATATGTATAACCACAACACCCAAAGGATACTAAAAAAAAGTTGTTCTGTAGTTAGTTATTTTTGTTTTTATTTTTATTTTCACTAAACTAATTTATTAATAAACTTTTTGCATGCTGCTTACTATAACGCGCTGAATCACTCTGGATGCCTTAAAAGATACTGAAAACATTAAACTCGTGTTCTGTGCTGTGAAGGATACAATTATGCAGAGTGCTCTCAAAGAATTTAATTTGGCTTAATATTGCTTAATTTAATGTGTTAACGTTAAAATTGATTCATTAAACTTAATTTTTCTAAATGCATGTTTTATTTGTCCGACCTTTGTTATAATAACGCTTTGATTCTACTAAAAAAAAAATAACTCACATATAACCATTTGTTATATTTATGTTATATTAAATTAATTTTATTTTCTTCTGCTTTTTGAAGTGAAACTTCTTTAGGCGCGCTGTGAGTAAAATTTAACTTGCGACAGACTCATTACGGCGGTTAGAGAGAAAAGATATAATTTAGGAAGAGCGAATTTGAGAAGATTGAGCGTCTTACAAACCACTAGACCGTGGAGAGAGGGAAAGGACAAAGCGAGCTAGGTCGTTTCTCTTAAACATAGCGTTCCCTATTACTAGAGAAATTCGGTTGAAGGATGAAAAATAAAGAAAACCGCAATACTACACACCGCCAAAAGAAGTTTCACTTCTTTCACGTGCACCTAGTTGCACGCGCATCATTTTTTTATGTTACTATGAATGTTATAACTCTGTAAGGGGAGGTCAGTGTTTACAATAATACTAATAAATGCTTCCGTTGGTAAATGTAATACAGTTTGAACGACGCGCCGAAGTGTACACAAGTAAGATTATCGAACACGAGTGCAGTAATTTTATGTGTGTGTTTAATGTAAACAAGTTTCAGTGTATTTTATTTCGTTACGTCATAATGACATCATCTTTCGCAGATACCGAAAACATCCGGTTCGTATTCGCCGCCGTAAAGGACACAATCCTACAGTCCAACCTGAAAGAGTACAATCTCGTTTAAGCGAAAGCAACATTGGTCCTTGACACAAATCTGTGATTGTGTATAACACACGTAAACATCATCACCTCTCAACAGAATGTGTTTGTAAATTGACGAACTGAGATCGGATGGACGAACATATTTCATCTTAAAACGTTTAATGAGAAATTAAGAATAGATTGTAAGTCATTTAACCACAATTAAGCGGTGGGTTCGGACGGGCCGCGATCACTCGCTCGCGCTCCGAGCCGGGGGAACGCCTCCGACGAGTCAGGTTTTTTGACATGTTTTTTTATGATGAAGTTATTCACAAATTATGTATGTGTCTGTAACGGTGATTATTGAATTGTGCATTTTAAAAGTAATGGTGGGTCTCGGCCTCGCCACGAGCTGCTTTTAGTCATTGTTTTAGGATTTTTATAAAGTTTGTTGCCATAATATCTTTCTACATTAGATACGTTTTATTGTGTCCACGAGAATGGATTCGAACAAACTAGTCCAATGAACGTTGGTCGAGACCGGACTTCGCGCTATGATTGTATCGATCGGAATGCTTCCGTGTTACTATTATGTACGTACCTATTTATTTAAGATGTGAATGATGTCTCGAGAGGTCACGGTCGTACCAGCGCTAACTAGGGCCGGGACGGGCGACTGCACCGCCCTCTGTTACCACGCGCGCACTACAGCACTAGTGCTGTCAACTGTCAGCCGTCACTGTCACTGTCACCGTGACAACCCTTGTGTTCAGCTTGAGTACGGTGGCTGTGGCGTTCGTCTCCAACCGGCCGTCTCTCTACTCCTACTTAATAAATATATAATTTTATTGTGCAAACATTACCGTTTTGTTCTGTTAGCTTCAAAGGTTTATAACTTTATTATTGTATTAAAATGTAATATTTCGTTACTTTTGTACATTGGATTTTTTTTTGTTAAATAAATATAATATTACGTTATTATTTAAGCAGTTTAAGATTAAATACGGTGTTTTTTTTTTTCTACAAGTAATGACTTGACGCAAATCGTTTACGTTGAATGTAGGCTTTGTGTACGCAACGGTCTGGTGTATTTGGTTTCTTCCTGGTGTTATCTGTATAGGAGAATTAAACAGCTACCATTATGTCAAATATAGGAAGGTTACTACTACGTTAGTTGTTTAAGGACATTTTTGATGCATTTGATATGAACTTTTTTTACTAGAAACCCAAGAAATCAAAGCTATAAGTGAACTATAAAACTGGTACCCATGTTTTTGCACGAATGCTTTTACCACATGAATGTAATATATTGTACATTTGGGTCTAAATGTGCTGAGTGAATTGAGCTGACAGTTCAGTGCCAAGTTTTGCTATTGGCAACATTATCACGGGAATACGAAGCACAAAATATTTATGTTATTAAACAACAAAAAAAAACATTTATTGTCTGTTTCATTTAAATATATTTTTAGAAATACTTTATTATGCTATGCTTAATTTAGTGTCGCTTTGTGTTATATTATTTAGTTTAATGTATATTAAGAAACAAAGTTTCTAGGTTTTTTTTGCAGATATATAACTTATTAACTTATTTGTTGTTGTGTCTTATTATACTTTTTTTATAATGTAATATACGAATTAAGCTTATATAATATTATATGTGAACGGCTAATCACAGTAACATCTGACACTGTCAATAGCAAAACTGTATCTCGACATTAGAGGCATAAGGTGTGGAATCGGTTATTAAAACTATTCAAACGGAATATTTCAATTTGGTAATCGTATGTATTATAGGAATTTATATGACCATTATAGGATAAGATATCTTTAAAGTATTGATCTAAATTGTAGTCCAGAGGTCGAGACCCCGACGAAACTACACACGAACTACTGTATAAAAACGATTTTTTTGTTTGTTTTAAATTAAATTCAACCTTATGCTTCTGATCTCAAGGTGTGCTTTTAAATTAAGAAACAGCTGTCTTTGATGCTCAAAATGATGTGAAAATGAACTTAGCGCACAATTATTGAATTTCTATTGATGTTCACTGAAACAATCTCTGTGTATGCCCCCTGTACATAGGAACTATACATATTATTTCTTTTGTGCATTTGTACAGCGATGCTGTGGATTCATTTTGACTTCGAGCCCAACGAGGTTCACCGGCGGTAGTGACGTCATATACTGTTTTGATTCGAACCCTTTGCATTCCGCCGTCATAGGTAAAAAAAAACTGAGCAAGACGCGACGAGTCTCCCTTTTGCCACCTTCGATTGCATTTATATTATTTCCATTTGCTTATAAAGTTGACACGTATCTATTGGATTTTGAGAATAAACTTGACCTCGCCGGCTTTAAACGGAGCCTAAGGAACGATTATTTTGTTTCGGTGCAGGATTATGTGTTTTTGTTAGAAGGATTCTCGAACGAATTCTCGGCCTACCTGATGTTAAACGATTACCGGAACCTAAGGGCGTTACCCTTCGAACGAGGAAGCGTGATTGCTGCTCGATAAGACGCAGACAGGGCGGTCACACCCAAAGGACTCGTTACCAACAGTAATACGCAACATAACATACACTTGCAGATAAATAACTTTTATTTTCCATAGTACGTAACAAATTTTAGAGCTCTAAATTATGAACACGCTAAAGTTTTTCAGTTTTTTCGCCAGCGTCACTGATAATGATTCTAGGGCGTTAGTTTACTGTATTTATCGTACCGGAATGCAAAGGGTTTTTAAAAATAAACAGAATGTTACCAATAATGCAAAACACTGGATAACTTTTTTTTTCACAGTTTCATCGGTAATTAGAATTTATCAAAGAATGTTTGTCAGTGATGATGTAAACAAAGTTTTTTTTTTTTTTTAAATAAGAATCCGAAGAGAACGCGGTTTCGTTTCTAAGGAGATAATCGGTTCGCTGTGACGCGTCACCGGAACCCATTATCTGAACCCCAGTATGCACTGCCGTTATTGTAAGCTAGTAAATGCTATTTAATAAACTTATATTTACCGGATCAAAGCAAGAGTTTTAACTTAAAATCGAAAAGAAACCGCGTTCGATTTGAAAAAATACTGAAGATGTTTCTCGCTGGCCTCGCTCCCGTCTGTGAACAATGTGTACGCATCTTTAACGAATCGTGTTTATTCGTATATCGGTGTGGGGCTCCTCACCCATTTTGTTTTAACGATCGGGCAATGACAAACGTACAATGTCAGCTGAACGTATATTTATAGTCTAACGTTGCTTTACCTTTTGCGTGAGATTGTGAGAGTTTTAGCTTAAGTTCCGACTGAAGATGGATGCCTGAATGAAATATTGTAAATTATAATTTCTCATAAAATATAATTTTTTTCAGCTAAGGGTAGTTTTTATTTATTTTTTTGATCTTGTTTATCAGCGCGGCTCGCGTCATCGATGAAACGCAATTGCGTTTTACAATGCGAAAAGTCATTAAAAGTATTTCATTACAGGAATATCGGAATATGAAGTCGGCACTAACAACCTTTTTAATAATAAATCGGTGTAGGCTAAATCAATTACTCGAGGGTTGGCCTCACGGTAATGGAAGATTTTCACAATCTGGCGTGCTTCTCCCAAGATAGGAACTTATTTTTCTATTGCTTGGACGAACCTGTTTTTTTTCCTTCCTATTCTGATAGCCTTGAGAGGCTATTTCAGCTTCACCCTATGTTGCTAACACTGGCCCTAGCAAAAGCAGTGCTTCGTAGAATCTACCACCGGATCGGAAAAGCGACCCACTGAGAAGATCCGGCGAGCAACTCAGTGGGCTGTGTCTGGGTTAATTTACTCGCAAGCGACGGTTCGACAGGAACGATGACCGTTGCTTGTGGTGCCTAAAAGCACTTAGCGTTAGTGGATCGGGAGGATCCGTAATGACGTGCTTTGCTTGACGTACGTCGACGTCGACTGTTTACCATTCGGTCTACAGGATCGGGTATGTAGTTTCCAGCGGCCACGATGAGAGGGTTCTCGTGTCGTGCCGCTTTTGAAGTGGCGACCGACCTGGTGTTAAGCTGTTACCGAAACCTATAGGTATGGACATCGTAAAACCTATTTTGAGAGGCGAGTACTATCTCTCAGTTTTGTCGTACAATGACGGCGACATCCTTAAAACCGAAACGCTTTACTGCTTCAAGGCAGAAATAGGCAGGGTGGTGGTACCTACCCGTGCGGGCTACCAAGACGCTCTAAACGAGTATTTCAAGTCAATAGTCACGAAGGTCTCAGGAGGTATTCTCATTGTGATGTCAACTATGCTTAATACCGGCTGTGGAACTCTTCCTAAGTACGCTAAAACATATTCCAATTAAGTTCCTAATTATTAGGACACAAGAATGTTTCCTTTCTCATTGTTTCCAAAGTCAGAAATTACGATACTAATAATTTTGTGTAATGATAAATGAGGCACAGTAATTGCTGTCAAGTAGGTATCTATAGATTCAATCGCAGATTTGGCTAAACGATATGCTGTGGCTCTAACAGTTATTTTAGTTTAGTTTTGAACTACCTATACTATGTCTCCGCGCAACCTGAGTGATGTAAGTCATTTTTGTGAGGAAAATTCAAATGAAATTACAACTGCAGCTCTAAATATAGCGCTGCATAATTTTAAGTGGCGTATTTTAACATACGTTTTCTTCAACGCTACGTTTCTGTGTAATTTGAATATTTTTTTGAAGACATACAATCAAGGCGTGGTAGTTGGAAACGCTTTGGTGGAACCTCGTATTGATGGAAAGATTCAACAATTAGTGTTGTTCTGCGATGACATCGTAGGAATTACGCTTGCGCTTGATTCACTGCCGAATCAATTCGACGAGACAGGAAAAATTATCGTTATCTGTCAATCGCCAATATCATGGAAATGCAGTGCTGAAGAAGCCATGCGAAGTTTTTGGTCCGTTAAAATAACCAACGTGGTCTTTTTGAAAAAAGAGGTTTTCGTCATGGCCTATACCTATATGCCCGTATATAATGAACAATGTGAAATAAGTGATCCCATACCGCTATTTGGTCTAAAACCGTGTATTATTAATGCAACAAAATGTGGCGTATTTGATAAGAAATTGGACAACTTGAATAAATGTAAAATTGTAGTATCGACCTTAATACGAAGACCTTTCATGATCATTAACAATGGAATACCCGAAGGAGCCGACGGTCACTTATTACTCTTGATTATGGAAAGACTAAACGCTACACTTGAAGTAATCATTCCTGGTAATCACAATTATTGGGGCAAGCTAGATTCAAATGGAACATGGTCGGGTTCTCTCGGAGATGTTTACTATGGTGCAGCTAATATATCTATGACTTCTGCTGCCTTAACAGCATCTATAATTTCCTATTTTCAAATTTCAATACCTTACCGTTCAACAAATGTTGTCTGGATTTCACATCCACCGAAAGCATTATCGCCTGCATTGAAATTACTGCACCCATTTAAACCATCAACACAAATAGCACTTGGTATTATCTTTTTTATTGTAATCGCATGCGTTTTGTTTGTAAGTAGTAAAAAGATGTGGTTGCTGTGTTGCCGCAGAGTAAGAACAACAAAAAAGAAAACTTCTCTCCTTTTTAATACTTGGATGATATGTATAGGCGTACCAATCGCCCATCTACCTTCAACGTCTACTTTTCTTTCCTTAATTGTTCTCTGGATCTGGTATTGTTTTCTGATTAGAACTTTTTATCAAGTGTGGCTTATAAACTCACTACAAGGGAAGTTTTATCTTGATGGTTTTGAAAAGATAGATGAGGCTATCGAAGCTGGATATGATATTGGAGGAGGAATTTTTTTAAAAGAATATTTCGTTGACTATCCTTATATTTACAATAATTGGAAAGAAACTGTCTCACTTAATGTAACTCTTCATGAAATATCAGAAGGCTCGAACTTTATTGCAGCCACGATATACGACTTAGCTAAATCCTTAATGAATTTTGAAAAGATAAACGTACATTTTTTAGCGGAGAAAGTTGTTGTCAGTCCCTCTGTATTATTTTTCAACAAAAATTCCCCTCTAGTGGCGCCGATCAATGAGCTATTGCAACAATTAACCGAATCTGGGTTTGTAGAAAAGATTTCTAGAAATTACTTTACTCATAATGTGGTGAAAAATCCCACACAGATAAGGGAACCGATCAATATAGAGAATTATACGGGGTGTTATATGGTATTGCTGGGCGGCTGGATTATATCGATTCTTTGTTGTATGGCTGAAATTTGTTTTAGAAAAATTTTCAATAAATTCTGATATGCGTGTGTAATGTACGTATTTTATTTATAATTAGTGCTACTGAATTATTTATTAGTGTTTTTTTATAATAAAAATCTGTAAGTATCGACTGAATGCTGTGTTCTCTTCGATTAAAAGTCAGATAAGAAGTGCATTAAGGCAACTACACTAATAACAGTAATAAAATAAACCAATACGAATGTTGATTTTATGTCGATACTTGCTTTTATAATATTTATTCATTGACTGTCAATGACGGTGGCATTCTTGAAACAGAAATGGAATCAAAAACTGTAAAGTATGAAAATTTCACTGAAATGTTTTTGAAAGATGATGACGCTGTGATAAATCGCATGGCGATTTTAGCAGCCAAAATTGCATACTTTAATTTCGAATGGCGTTATGTTACCCTTGTGTTATTTACCACGATTCAGACTGCGGCGATAAGTTCATTTGTAACAAACTACAATAAAACTGTGGCCCTCAATACAGGCCAATTTAAACTGCATTATCGTCGCCACATACAGCAATTCGTAATTTTCAGCGACGATTTTTCTGACATATGCAACATACTGAATATGCTTGTCACATCCAAATATAATTCTAACGGTAAGATTATAATTATTTGTGCTCAAGATAAATGTGACGAAGACCAAGTGTTTAAAACCTTGATGAAATCAGTTATGATTAACGTAATATACTTGAAACCGTCAATTGTATATCGCGAAGAACCTTCGGTATACTGGTATAGAATAGTTCGTCCGGGAAAATGTTTCAGCAGTAAACCTGAAAGGTTGGACGTCAATATAAATTGTGAAAACAATGCGTGCTTCAAGAATCTTTTTCCAGAAAAGTTATCAAATTTTTACGGATGCTCGTTATTCATTGCAACTTTTCAACAACCTCCGTTTATGTACCTTGCAAACGACACAAAGAAAATATCGGGTAAAGACGGAAATCTAGCGAAACTTATTGCTGACGTCTTAAATGCGTCGCTTGTCATCAGGGTACCAAAAGAACACGAGTGGGGACAATATAAGAATAAAAACTGGACAGGGTGTTTGGGTGAAATCTTTAAAACTCGAGTTCATTTTGCTATGTGCAATGCTCCCCTAACATCAAACCTTTATGGCAATTTTCAAGTTTCGTATCCATATTATTATATGGAAGTTGTTTGGACTGCGAAAGTACCGCCTCTAGTACCCTCCTGGCAAAAAATATTGCAACCTTTTAATCTTCCCCTAAAATTTACTATACTGTCCCTTTTTCTTGGTATAATTTTGTTGAATATGCTTGGGAAAACAAAAATTTTTAATAATATAAGGCGCGTTTGTAATATAACGCCGCCTAAACGTAATTCTCTCTTTTACGCATGGCTTTTGTTTCTTGGATTACCTTTAGAGAAATTCTCATCCAGAAAACATTTTAAAATCATCATTTTGGCTTGGATTTGGTTTAGTTTTGTTATACGATGTGCATACCAGGTTACTCTCGTCACTAGTTTGAAAAGCATAACCTATAATTATAACTTGCGTTATGATAGCGACATATTGAAGTACCCATTTGGAGGAATGTCATCAATAAGAGATTACTTCATCGAAGACAAAGATTTCTATGAAAATTGGACTTCGGTAGACATGCAAAAGGCTTACAAACTTTTAGATGAAATAATGGAAGAGAAAACTGATTTTGTGCTAGCTTTAAATAAAGATACAATATTACATCATGCTGCTGAACATATTGGATCAAAACGGATACAAGTTATTGATAATTGCATTGTAAAAAGTCCGATAGTATTGTATTTTAGAAAACATTCGCCGATGACAGATCCAATAGCCAAGATAATGAACGCAGCATTAGAGTGTGGCTTCATTCAATATTCGTATCAGACGAACTGGAAGCGGCAAGAACACCTTTTGAATTCTCACTATGCTTACAATCTACAACCTCTGACACTGGATAATTTTAGTGGTTGTTTTTCGTTATTGATTATCGGATACGGAATATCAATATTATATTTCGCTCTAGAGGTAATATGTCACAAAATTGATAAAACAAATCAGAGAATTGATCTTCTAGTTGATCAAGAATGAATTGATACAGATGTTTTAAATACCAATGTGGTTGCCTAAAAGTTCGCACTCAGGTTCATCCTGAGAACAGGTCAGTAGTAGGTACTATTGTATTGTCATCTGTATCATATAACCCACCTCTTCATACCGATTCGACAATAGTTACTATGCTATAACCGTCCTACCCTTCGAAATAGAATACATTATAAACACAAATTTTAACAGAAATTGTAACTCACAGTATTTCCTTCAAATATAATTAAAGAGGGAAACAAAGCAATATAGTCATTTAGTATTCACGTATCTGGTGTACATAGGCAATAATTAGCTCTTCATTTACAGTGCCTATTCACCTACTACGATTTGTTCCACACGACAACACTATTTTTGCAATGCTCAGCCTTACTATATGTTTTATAATAATGGTTCTACGAAAGCAAGTAACGTAGTGCACCGTTGGTTTTCCTCACATCACAAGTTTGAAGCAAAATGTCAATATGCCTACACAATAAATAAAGTATTTGTAAATAAACCGATTCATTCATTTCCCTCCAACTGTTTCGAATACATTTTTAAGGTTATTTATTTTTTGTACTCCTTTCTTTCCTAATACTACGTATAATATACGTTTGTAATAAAATAAGTCTTTGTTTGTTTGTTGATTAAACAAAAAGAACATGCGATCCTTTCTGAATCTATACAGCATCACAGCCAACCTAGGCAGTGTTTCACTAGTTGTTAATATTAATTCAGCTCAAGAAGTCAACATTTCCATGTATTCATTACCAAAACCACGACACGAATACAACTTCACTGATCTTCACCTTAGGCTACATAAGTACTAAACGGACGCAATCGCCCAACTTCCAGCGTGCGTGACAGCTTAACGTGGATAAGTATAAAACTTTGTTAATCTGTTCTAAGCTTCTTTAGTTTCGATACTTGGTAAGTTTCTGTTAAATCGAAATAGTTTTACAGACTCAATTCATACTTGAACTGATTGGAATGTAGTTGAAGCCTTGAAGTAGATTAATCGTTTATAAATGTAAAAATACTTAATTAATGAAGGAGAATAGCTTATGAAATAAAACTAGATAATACATAATTTGCAGAGTCGTAAAAACACATAATTATAATTCCACATAAATAGGTAAAAAAATATTACATTATATTATCGTATCGACACTCTTACATTGACACATTAAATGTCTAAAGCATTTTCTATGAGTCGACCAAGGGTAATACAGAAAAGCATGTAGTACTAGGTGCATTGGTTGAATAATTAAAGAAAATTTATTTTGATGTTTTGCCATTGTTTTATACAATATACTAACTATGCTTCTTTAAGCGAACAGATATTGACAAAGCGAAAAAAATTCTTCTTTTAAATGTGCTCTACGAGTATGAATGGTTGAGTTCACGTTCCCTCTGGTGTTTCGTGATTATCTGAATACACGCTAATGCCGCTACCCACTTTGAGATTTGAATTCGAAGTTTTAATTGATGTATAACCCTTCAAAATCACAAACAAGTAGGATGGCGGTACCTCCTGACGCGGGTTCACAATAACCCCACTACGAGTGCTTACGTGAATTCATAGATAAAAAATTTCGTGAGCTATTATTATTTCAAGTAGCAATTACCTGATTTAAAAAAAAACTGCTTAAGGCCAATAGACACTAGAGCGACAGCACACTTATTATCCTGAAAGATAGCACCTAATTCAATAGTAATTAATAGCTAATATGAATGATCCCGCGGTCTACATCTAGTTTACATAATATCTGAAGACGTCAAATTCCAGTTTTGTAAATCAAATGTTTATGAATGAGGGATAACTGATGGCTTGCAGCCCTTTCCAGTTTCACCAGGGTAGGTGGGCGAGAAAAGGCTCAGCCAGGACGTGTGGGATTTGCTAACAACTGCCCGAGCGGCTCCAAGGAGACCTAAAAACTCAAGAGGAGCTGCTTCGCGTATGGATCTACTACCAGATCGGAATCACGACCCGCTGAGAAGATTCGGCGAGAAACTCAGCGGGCTGATACATGAATTAGGTTGCACGGTAACACGTAAATCAAATATACAAATTGAAATGTGCCAAAACAAATTAACGACACTATCAAGTAACATTAAATGTAAGATTGAATATCATTACACATTTGTGACAATATTATGTACCTAACTCGTATATAAATTGAGGTAAGTACTTAAAACTTTGTTGATGGACATGTACGATAAGGTTGATTGTATTCAACGTATTAATATACTAGCGGCCCGCTTCGGCTCCGTTCGGGTCCTTAACAAAAATTTATATTAAAATAATTTTTTTACACCTTGGGTTACATTATTGGAGTTTTAGTAAGGATCCCTAATTTTTTTCCAAAAAATATTATAGCTTAAGTCACTCGGGAATAGTGTAGCTTCCAAACAGTGAAAGAATTTTTCAAATCGTTTCTGTAGTTTCGGAGCCTATTCAATACAAACAAACAAACAAAATAATCCTCTTTATAATATTAAGTATAAGTATAGATAGATAGATAGATATATATATAGATTATCATAAACATAAACATAAACATATTATCATGGGGAAACATCATATGGAAGTGAGATAAGATTTAATAGTAAATGTAATAGAAAGCTAGCTATGAATGAAGCACTCCCTATTTTTATTTTTGTGTACTGATACTAGTGGATAGGCAGTATTGCCAGTTCGAATAGGTAGGTACCACCTGCCTATTTATGCCGCAAAGCACTTACACTGTCCAGTTTAAATTGTGCGACAAGTTTATAGAGTGGCTTCATTAGCGTTGAAATAACGTTATAGGCTCGTTTACAACAACTATTGTTTACATAAATTAAAAACAAAAAATATATCGCTATTAAAAAAAAAATTGTTAGTTGTGAAGCTACCAGTGAAAATTTTGTTCAAGGTATTTTTTGTTTTAAAAAAAAAAAAAAAAATTCTCAAAATTTTATAGTCTTACTGTAAATAGCTTAACAGACATACACCTAAATGCGTTTAATATCTGATATAATAGTTCCGATTAATTGAATCTTGAATACCAAACGCAACGCAACTTTTTATTTTGAAATGTTCGCGAGTTCGCCACCCGCATGCGCGTTTGTGTCAAACCTCTTCCAGTCTGGAGCGAAAATTTTGGTGGTCTCAGTTCAAGTGACGGATGCTGCGGACTAAGACCGTCTGTTCATAACGAATATTACGGATACGATACAAACTTTAATGTAGAAATTTCGTAAAACGAACCTGTTCGAAGGAAAAATATTTTGGATATTATTAGCATGAGTGCAATCAGTTATGTATGTTTTTTACCATTATTAGTAGTTTCCGTTGTTGGTGCTAAAGTTTTGAAAGTAAAATTTGAAGGTGAGAAAACATATTATAATTCTAATTAGAGTTGCAGTTATCAATTGCTCTATACATGTCAATGTTGTTTTATGTCTTACTGTAAACCCTGTCGGTAATCCTTAAATAAATAAATATCTTTTTTATGATATTTATATAACGTTAAAAAGATAAACATAATGTGACATAATTGACTGGTGGTAGGACCTCTTGTGAGTCCGCACGGGTAGTTACCACCACCCGCCTATTTTTTCTGCCGTGAAGCAGTAATGCGTTTCGGTTTGAAGGGTGGGGTAGCCGTTGTAACTATACTGAGACCTTAGAACTTATATCTCAAGGTGGGTGGTGCATTTACGTTGTAGATGTCTATGGGCCCCAGTAACCACTTAATACCAGGTGGGCTGTGAGCTCGTCCACCAATTCGCAGCGATTATGAGTTTCCACTGAGTCTCGTCTTATTTGTTATCGGATTTCTTACGCTACGAACCTCACCTGCGATCTAGTAACATCGTCTTCACGTGCGTCTGATCTAGCAATAGTGCTTAGACTTGATAACAATTGTAAATTACCCTCCTTTATACATTGAGAATAATCGTATCACCACTTCTGTAACAAGGGCTAATTATATTTTCTGTTGTTACCTTATAAATCTTTTTAAGTACTTTGCAGAGCAATAAAGTTTTAATATTTTTATGAAACCAGACAGTGGGTTAATGCAAAATGATGTGTAATGACGTAATTAATGTCATTGTCTCTTAATAAAAACACACATTTGAAAGAATACTCGTACTTCAAATCATTTTATAACAACCGTTTGGTACAACTCAAAAAGTTTTACATCCTGTGAAAATAAATAAATAAGAAACATTAAAAACCTATAAGGAGCAAAATTTAAGTCCGAATAGGATATTTGTATTTTGCATTGAACATCCCCTATATTTAATACAAAATGCAAACACTATGTTTAAGAATTGTGCCATTCTTATACGGTTCCCCTTTATGTGCTAGAAGAACTAATGAAAATCTCAAAACTACTGAAGATGCTGTTCAAATATAAACTTAGTATAATTTTACCTTTAAAAATATGTGTTGCGTTACTCGTTTACATTGCGCATGAAATTTTTCGAGCAACAAACAATTTGTTCCGATCATTTCGTAATAATACGCAATACCAAAGATAAGCCGCTTAAGGAATTGAGAAGAAAATATTCCCGGAAGTAAAATTGAAGAGCAAACGAACTCATGAATAAATATGGAGAAAATGTTCAATCCTATCTCTTAGTACCTATCATGAGTAGATAATATTAGTCTCAATTGTTTTCTGACAGTACATTCAATTTAGTTTGTCAACTGTACCTATTTCCCAGTTTGCTTTGGCCATCATAATTAATTAAAGTGAGCCCGCACGGTTCAATACCACCATTTTGGCTATTAATACCGAGACAAATTGTTAAATATCAGCATAATAAACATCACTTCCTTTGCTTTGTATTGCGAAAATATAATAGTTTAAAAAGCACAAAAAATCTTACAAGTATTGCATCGTACTATGAATGCTAGATTACATTGTAATTTTGTAGATGGAACATGGAACCGTTTTTATGACGTGTATTAAAAAAGCCCGAAAGTCCTCGGAATCACAATCCGTGGTACTTTACTTTTACCTGCAATATTTCTAAAACTATTCACATTTACACGACGAGACTAAAGTACTTTCACATGAACTCTCTTTAAGGTCGAAGACGCATGCTCGATCTACTGTTCCTGTATGAAGTTCATAATGGAGAACTCGGAATCTTATATATTCTTAATTTCTCTATGTCATTAGTGCCGACAGGGTCTTCAAAGCTCAGGGCTGTTATGGGTCCAATGTTATACCAACCTTTAATAGCTAGACAAATGCCGCCAGCTACCTTGAGATATAAGTTCTAAGGTCTCGGTACAGTTACAACGGCTGCCCTACCCTTCAAACCGAAACGCATTACTGCTTCACGGCAGAAATAGGCAGGGTGGTGGTACCTACCCGTGCGGACTCATAAGACGTCCTACCACCAGTAAACAAGATGTCCTACCACCAGTCCGTAGACTCCAAAACCTGACACGAAACCTCTGAGTCTACGGGGAGAATCTGCTCTGCGTATCGTATATTCCTCGGGGAGTGCTCTGAAAATGTATTTATACCCTACAATATATTGTTCTATTTATTTATTAATCTAAAAAATAAGTTGCATTACATTTTCGTAAACCGTGTCTGCTCTTTTCTAAGTCTGTTGCTGTTACATATTCATATCTATTTTTATTTATTTGTCAAGTTCTATTTTTACAGATACGCCGAAATTCGTTGGTTCAGATACAAATGTTACTGTGGTGATCGGGAGAGACGCTACACTTACCTGTACCGTGGAGAACTTGCAAAAATTCAAGGTGAATAATGATGATAGCAATACTAAAATTTTGTTTATGGAAAATCAAGATGATTTAACCAATTACAATAAAAATAGTATAATAAATAATCGGTGCAGATTCTGAAACGAATGTCTAGATTCTGGCTACTTCTGCCGTGAAAAAAATTATAGTTTACTGAAGGATAGGCATTGGTCAACGGCGTTGAGACTTGGATCCTATCTCAAGTAGCGTAGCAGCATTCACAACCTGCGGTGTCTATGTCTATGTCTGGTAGATATTAGATATGAAATAAGGCACAACCTAATCTACCCATTCAGGTCTGTTGCAGACTTTGAATTCCAAAAATTTTACAATACTTAAAATGTCTCGATAAAATAAAATATACTCGACCGTATTCAAAGTCTCCATACAAATATCCAATATAATCTTCAATATCTACGCGCTTTCCAATCTCTTACGTATTCAGTATACAAAACGTTTGAGCATTGCCGTTTGTGAACGTTATTCAACTCGCTAAAGTACGTTGCTCAATATTTACGATCCCGAAATAAGCACAAAGGCCGCTCTTACTACATTGGCTCAAACGCATTACCCCTACGGGACCCTGTCTGCATCGGCATCTCCATTAGTTAGGCTAATAGTTACCATTAGTCATTTAGTCCGTTGTAACGGCTTTCCATTCATAACTCCAGCTCATAAGAAAATGCTCGCAGTTTCCCACTAAACGTTTTGGACGCAGGTGCGAATTGAGGATGCGTTGAGGCGTATGTACCTACTTTTATACGGAACCGTTTTCGTAATGATCGAACCTTTATCCCAATATAACTGGACTGTTTCATGTATTTCTTTATCGACGGTCCGCACTCAATACCGTCTTTACCATAAGGGCACACGTGCCCAGGGCCCCCATTCTCAGGGGGCCCCTAAGGACCGACAATTTCTCTCACACATTTATTCGGTTTCCGTTATCGTGATCGTAACCAAAAAACCAGCAGCATGCTAATATCATTAATGACATATTATATCATACCGTATTTGATTACCTATAATAAATGGTCATACTCAGTAAAAAAATGTTATTATAATTCGCTTTTTTTACTTTCCAAAAGGGCTTTAAATTCTTGTGTGCCCAAGGGCCCCAGCCTAATTTAAGACGTCCCTGTCCGCACTGGTGCCTGCGAGCCATACTCGTAATGAATAAGACACCCATTGTACTTGAGACTAACTATACTTGAGATCTTAGAACTTATATCTCAAGGTGGGTGGCGCATTTACGTTGTGGACGTCTATGGGCTCCAGTAACCATTTAACAACAGGTGGGCTGTGAGCTCGTCCACCCATCTAAGCATTAAAATATATAAAAAATATCGAGTGATAATTAATTCCGGTCACTGGTACCACTTTTTCTTAGGATAAATAAATATATGAAGTAATGACACTGTATAGTAAAAATCTAAGGTACAAAATTACTAATAATTTGTCCTATTGTAAGATCACACACTGGTGGGTATCTACTAAGGTACAATCATCTTGTTATCAAAACCAAATTTAAATGTGATTCTTGTCTTGTTTCCGCTTCAAAAGTTACCAAGTACATATCTGGCTAACACTCGTAAATATTAAGGGTTAAGTGCTACCAACGCATTTGTCCTCCAGAAGAGCAATTACGAAGGTAAAGTTACACCATTTAGTAAAACAGTCTGCTGTGAATCATAACTGCTCTTTCCATTGCGTTTATTATTCCATTATATATTATATAACAGTTTTATCTCATTTGATTCTTCAATTATCGTCAATTTGTTTTTAATAAACAAAAACTGCAATGCCGTCAATAACAATTTCTCAAGGATTTTTAAAAAATCCTGAAAGTGTCTTACAGATAAAGTTCGAAAGACCATTTGAAAAAAATGTTTTATATTTTAGATCTTACATTTATGCACATCGGCGGACTTAGTGGCTAAGGAATTCCCTACCAGTCAACCAAAAAAACTTAGTCGGTACAATGGTTGCTAAATTAATGTAAAAATAAATAGATATTACACATTATACTATTATTATTAAAAGCACATATAAATACAAATAACAATATGATACTATATAAACGTAGTGAAACAATAAATTATTTCAGTGAATATTCCTAGTATATTACTTTATTAAATATTTAACAATTTAACATTCTATATTTCGGTATTAATATTCAAAGTTTTCTGCAAATTTACATAAAATAATTTTGCGAACTATATCTGACGGACATTTCAGGGAACAATCAACTTTTCCATAAACAGGTTTCGAACAACTTCTAAATCCTTTTTTCTGTAACTATATTTTTCATTTAGATTAAGATAACAATCATAAATTAAAAAGTCTCATTTAAAAGTAAAAACGTAAGTTTCTTCACAAATCTTTTAGAATGAAATCTATAATATTTCATTAAAATTACTTATATACTTGTAAAATTGTTTCTGAATCAGTGAAGCGTGTGAACATTCTACGAGTAACAGCTAAATAATTGGATAACTTGCTATATTTGATTTAAAACTCAATATTTTTTCTACTTTATTTATACAAAACTCATTCTTGTCTTCCATTACGGAGGGACAGCATTTATCCATTAGCTTGATTTGGCTTATAGTATTACGGTACGCCACCTGACTGAAGTTAACCCTTCTTGGGATTGCTAAGCTTGGAATCATTGCGAAATAAAGGTTGGAATTAGTGAAAGTTAATAAACTGAGATTGTAGAAGATTCAACCTCTGGCCCAAAAAAGATAATAACTTTGACATCCCACTACCAACGCGGAAGAAGAAATTAGGAGTGTTGTCTCGAGAAACCCGGGCTATATACATATAAACATTTATAATCCGCTATCCTGATTGACTGACTGACTCATGAATGCAGATATATGAATGTATAAGCCCCCTCTCCACTGAACGAAGATCCACCGATCTAGAATCTCGAAAATTTGACCATTGATGTATTTTGTGTTGTAAGCAGCCACTACAGAAGGATTACTGTAAAACGCCTGAAGGGGTAAAGTAAGAAATGAATGATTGTATGGAATTCCGTTATTTTCAAAGTAAAAAGAACGGATTTCCATACACCGACTTCTGGTTAGACATACCCTCAGAGTATGTATGTATATCGGCGCTCTTTAAAATGTGGGAAGGTAATTTAGGCGTTGTTAATTAATATGTTGTCTACGAAGGCGAATTTGCGGTTGAAAAAGTAGTTGTGTAATATCCTTTAATTTAAAATTTTATGTTATTACTAGTTTTCGTCTCGCATCTTTATCTGCGTAGTTACATTTTAAATCGCGTAGGCGGAGACTCGTACTCAAAAGTGGCATGAAAAGTAGCCGAAATTCTTTCCCAGAAAAACTATTTCCATACCGAATTTTGTCAAAATCAATTCAGTGACTTGGGCGTGAAAACTTCACAGACAGATAGAGTTATTCTCGTCTTTTTTAATATTAATAGTAGATTGTAGTATCAAACTGTGATGATGATTAATAATAAGTTTGTTCTCCTTCTTTTTTACACTTAATAGAACATACATGACACGTATGTTGTAAGATGAATATACCTAGTCAGGTCATAAATTCTGTCACATGTTTAATGTAAAATAATTGAAACAAGTTTATTCATTATGTAACCATTCATATACCAAAATGAACTTAACAAAACATAGATTCTTATGACACTAAAGTTTATTCAAAATGACCTCCGTGATTTTGAATAAGGCCTTCAATCTGCGCGGCCAGTCGTCTATCGCAGCACGAACGAGGTCCATGTCAATATCGGCGGCTGCCTTAATCAAGGATGTCTTGAGTGACTCCAAATTAGGATTAGAATTTGAGCACGCCTTTTCCTCCAAGTTTTGCCATATCTTGTAATCTAACGGATTCAAGGAGGGCCAGTCTTCGTGCCGGATGAAGTCGATTTCACGCGCCGCCAGCCAGTCTTGTGTGCTATTCGCTCTATGAGCTGGCGCCGAATCTTGTTGGAATACCCAGTGCCTGTTATTGAACATGGTATGAGAAACAGGTTCCACAAGGTTCGTCAGGACTGTATTTTGATACACAACTGCATTCGTTTTTACACCTTTCTCACAAAAATGTACCTCTGTTAAGCCCCAATAAGAAACTCCCAACCATACCATGAGCGAGGATGGAAAATGACCTCGTTGGACACGCGGAATACGGTTGCCGCGGAATACGGTTGCTCGCTTCTTCACTACTGTGTGCGTACACCTTATCATTTTGTTTGTTGTAGCTATCTTCTACGGTAAAAAATTTTTCATCCGAAAAAAGAATTTCCCGATATTTTTTTCCCGCGTACCGCTTCAACAAAGCGCGGCATCTCTTCAGTCTCAGGTCCATTAGACGAGCATTCAAACGATGTCCTGTTTTTCTTCGATATGCCCGAAGCCCTAAGTCTTCATTTAACACCCTTATCACGTGGTTCTGCTTAACCCCATCTGAAGGGACAACAGTTTCTGCTTACGTTTGGGATTTCTTTGAATTCGCGCCTTCACAGCTTTTATCACTGCTGGAGTCCTAACAGACCGAGGGCGACCACTTCTTGACCTGTCATCTACACTAGAGTCTTCATTGTATCGTTTGATGGTACGATAAACCAATCTTTTGGTTATATTCAAATTTTTCAGTATGTTAAAAATTAGAATTGGCGCCTAACCGCAACGATGCAACGCAATAACTGCAACACGGTCTTCTTTAAGCGTCCACTCCATATTTAAAAATGAGTAAAATTCTAAAAGTATACATTTTTATTTTCATGAACAATTTGAAATTCGAATTCAATAAACTTTTTTGTGACCAGCATTCTAAAAGAAAAGTTTTTACTGTGTGACAATACTTATGACCTGACTAGTTACAAATAATCCGAACAAAAAAAAACGGACAAAACACAAATATATTTATAGTGTTATTTTTAAATAATGAATAGGTATAATTGATTAGGTCGCTTGGCTCAAAGTTGATACACAAACTATCTTGACGATCGGCAATCACGTGATCACGAAGAATCATCGCGTGAGCATCGGCAAAGGAGACCAGACCTGGTCACTAACGATTCGAGACATTCGTCTGTCAGATGCGGGACAGTACATGTGCCAATTGAACACTGAACCGATGACCATACAGACCCATCATTTACAAGTATCAGGTAATCAACAATAATTCTTATAAGAACGCTCGCATTCACCGTACTCTATGCCATATAAAAACATACGTTTAAGATTTAAAAGTTCAATATTAACGATTTTCAATTAGATATTTTTATACTTATTGTACCTATTTATAATATGATAATTTACCATGTTAGTAACGATAAATAAATAGATAATAATACGTAAAAGTCTTGTCCCTACCGTATAAATTATAAAATTTTCATATCATCGAAGAAGTCATCGTCGCCTAAAGACTAAAATTAAAATGTACTCATCATGTCGAGTATTTCGATTTTCAAATCTTGTGACTGGAATTTGATCTGTGCGATCAATGGAAAGATGAAGGAATAGCAACCTGTAATGAAAATCAAACCAGAATAAATTATAATTATTATACAATTGATACAAAATACCTCAAGTCTCATGATGGGTGGCGGTACCCGCGTTCTGATTTCGATGAGTTCCGGTAACAACTTAACACCAAGTGGGCCGTGAGCTCGTGCTCAAAATAACGCATTAAGCCAAAAAAAATTTTAGTGCCACCGGATATCATCAATTCAAGCAGTAGCGGTGAGATTACAGTACGTGAGGGAGAAAACGTTTCTCTGCATTGCTCTGCTTCGGGTGCACCCCAACCTACAATCACTTGGAGGAGAGAAGATTTAACTCCTATGAAAATTGGATCTGATGTGGGTAAGAGACAATTAAAAAAAAAAGTAACATTCACCTTTTTTCATGTCGTAGTGATGACGTAATAATTGTTGATCAAGGTCCATAGCTCAGGGACTTAAGCGATTCCCAGATCGGTCCCATAGGTACCATAGTGCCATCCACCTTGAGGCATGAGGTCGAGGTCTCATTGAAAAAACGGCTGTTCTGCCTTTCAAGCCGGAAAGCATGAATACTACTGCTACTGCTATTATACCGGACGATGGTACCAACCAGTGCTGCCTTACAGCATCGTGCCTACAATAAAACCTTTTATAGTAAAGATTCAGTTTAAAATATACCAAAGGGGCTAAAAAAAAATAAGCAGATATTTTGTGACCATAAAATAAACGCATGCTTTTTCACTTATCAACAATTAATTTGGAAAAATAAATTTATATTCGCAAGGGTACATTGTTCTCGTGACTCGAGATGACGGAACACATATCGCCTTCTCGCATTAAGACTGTATAATCTCAAAATTTACTAATTTTACAGGAGAGTGTTTTAAAGGTTTAACATGTGTTATTTTTCATATTAATAATATTTGCAACATTTATTTTTTATTTTGACGTGACAAGGTCTTATAATTCGATATAGCCGGCTGCACGCACGAAAAAACATGACTCATGCGGCGTTACCTCGCTCTGAGGCGTATTTTCTTATGACGTTGTCACGTTCAACTATCGTCAATAAACCGACTTAACAGACAACCGCTTTTTTTACCAGTTACACTATCTGTCTTTTAAAGTAAGATAAAAGTATGTAATAATTTTGTTAATAGTAGTCAAAACATGATGATACCAAATGTTTTCGCATATTAACTCAATTTCGAATATTTTTGGAAATTGTACATTTTTAATGCGAAAAGACGATATGTGTGCTGTGATATTGTTCACCCATCTACGAGGTGAGGCGATGTAATAAATAGAAATTAAGCAAATTTAATTTCTAGCGTCGAAATGGAACGGCGTGTGGTTAAACATGTCGTCTGTGAGTCGAGATATTAATGGCGCTTTCCTTTGCATAGCCACAAATGGCGTGCCTCCTTCTGTTAGCAAAAGAATTTTGCTACGTGTTATGTGTGAGTATGTTCGAACCTTGAAAATTTGATCCGAAACTTCAAGCCCCTGAAGAAAGTTAAAATGTATTTTCAAATATTATTATAAATTCTCCGGTTATCAAGTCAAATATACTTTGATTTCATAGTCATACATATAAATAAAAATTCACCTTTCAAATTCATCTTTTGGTTATTTGTATCGATATTTAACCTAAAAGTGCCTGAGGACAGACTTATTAACCTTCAGATAGAACATAAGCTAAAATTTAACGAGAACCTAACTGAATACAATATATTTGATTACTTTGAATTTTATTTCGTAAATAATATTTTATAAATAACATTTGAGTTTCTTCAAAACAAAAACGTAAAATTTCCAATCCATAATAGAATAACATAAATAGAATATTATAATAATAAATAAAATAAAATAAAGTAAATAAAACTAATTACACGTGCTAATAGAACAATAAATTAAACTATAATTATTTTTTAATGTTTTTATCGTTTGTATTTTCTCTATACTCGTCTTGTGGCCTTGAAATAAATTTTGCATAGATAATATAACACATTAGTAATGATACGAATGATAATTTGAAAATAGGATACCATATACATACCTTATGCCTCTGTATTTTAAAAAAATCAATACACCGCATACTCGTGCCCGCATGATCTCGAACTCAAAGCTTGAAGCAAACATCACACCCCTAAGTTGGCAGATTCTTATTGAAAGGATTGTGAGTCCCATTACATTAAATTAAATGTTCGGAAACAAACGAAGGTCTACACTCGTTTAGAATGTGAAATACAAAATGGGAATGTGAAACAAGAAACGTGAAATGTTACCGAAGTGTTATTTTACATTCAAAGCTTGTCTCACGAACGCGTCGATGTATTTCATTTATGGATGAAAAAAATTAAATCTGTCCGAAACTTATTACTAAACGCTGGTTATTAAAAGAAGGCTTACTACTAAAGGTTGTTTTATATTTTCCTTCCGGCGTTGGAAACAAGCCTGATTACAGTAGAGGGTATAATATGACATAAATGTTACAAAACATGTTCTCTGGTACGGCTTGAAATGTTAAATTGAATTGAGCTTTTACTCATGAATCCTAATCCAATGATGGCAATAAACGTTTTTATCTTTGAAACTAATCTGACTTTAATAGTCTTATGTTGCTTACGAACTAGTGAATTTGATTTTCCGCTTGAGATATTGAATCTATCAACTTGTAGATGCCCAGTGCTACAACCTGTCTTCATTTCATCATTCAACGGCCGTGTTGATAGTTATATCATAAAGCAAATGCCTTCTTTAAATGTGTTAATTGATTTTTTTAGGCAAACCTAAAGTCCATGTAACACAAAAAATGATAGGTGCCTACATCGGAGATACTATAAATCTTCATTGCAAAATTGAAGCATTTCCACCGCCAGTTATAACCTGGACACATCAGGACACCATCAAATTACAAAATGGTAGGCATACCTTTTTTAATCACGCTTGCAGATAATTATATTAAATTTAGGATGTACATTCAAAACATCTATTTGTTTTGTACTTTGAAGATCAATACGCCCAACGTATCTCAAATTGGACGGTCTTGCGATATAATGAAGATTGATGGCGCAATCTTATCAAACAATCTACAATACAAATACCACTAATTCGTAGATTCTACGTAATTGTTCAATTATTTATTTTCAAAATTATACAAATCTATTGTGAAAATAAGTGTTAGATATATGAAAGCGACCGGAACTTTTAGCTGTTCAGTTCATCATAGAATATAAATAATTTTAAGGATGTTCTTATTCTCGAATTAGGTACAAAGTACCAGGTCATCACGGAATCGAAGAGCTACAAACACACAGTGATACTAAGAGTATACAACGTCTCTAGAGAAGACATAGGCTCCTACTACTGCTGCGCCGAGAACCAGCTTGGATCTTCGAAGGACGATGTCACATTATACAGTAAGCATTTAGTTTACAGTAAGGTAAAGCTGTCTTGAATAAGATGTGGTTTACAGACAACCTCAATGTATAGTGCCTATTGATAAATTTAACGAATCGGAAGTAACACTATGGTCTCCAGTAAAACTATTTTATGAAGGAGACACAACATTGGGTTTTAGTAACGTAGACTTAAGGTGGGCTCAAAACTGAACCGATGGTAAGTGATTGCATAGTAAAAGTAGTTGCATTGCATAGTTCATACTGACGGCAGGATCTCTTGTGAGTCCGCACGGATAGGTACCACCACCCCGCCTATTTCTGCCGTAAAGCAGTAATGCGTTTCGGTTTGAAGGGTGGGGCAGCCGTTGTAACTATACTTGAGACCTTAGAACTTATATCTCAAAGTGGGTGGCGTATTTACGTTGTAGATGTCTATGGGCTCCAGTAACCACTTAACACCAGGCGGGCTATGAACTCGTCCACCCATCTAAGCAATAAAAAAAAAGACCGTCGTCCAATATTGTTAACTGCAGATTAATAATTGGACATTAACTCACTGAGTTTCTCGCCGGATCTTCTCAGTGGGTCGCGATCCCGATGGTACATTTTGCAAAGCACTGCTCTTGCTAGGGCTAATTTTGGCAAATACCTCCAGGTTGTCGTAGCACCATCCGTCTACGCGTAATTGAACTAGCCCCTTAGGCTATCAGCGAATAAGTAATGAAAAACAATAAATCGGATAGGCTTTATCGTACGAGATGGTTTGTTCTTGAATGTTCCTGTATTTTCTACAAGCTTAGAATTCCATTCATTCAACTGATGATTATATTGATATATTTGTGTATATAAAGCTCACGAAAGATAACAAAACAAGAAGGATAACATTTTTATTGTTGTTGTTCTTCCAAACATAAAAGATTTAACACGGTGTTTAATTTCCTTTTAATTAATCGTTAGGTTAAATTGGAAATTCTTGTCTGGAATAAGTTTGCGATCACGTCCAACGAAATTAATTCCCTTCAAAAATACGCCGGCGGCTTTCTGTCTAAATATATCCAATTAATTGTGGTTTAATTAATTAAGGTGTCGGTTGGAAGGATCTCGAAATGTTTTTGAATTCTTTCCCTACGCCGAATTTTAATTTGTAAATATTGAGATGGATTGTCTTATTTAGTTTACAAGGGACAGTACCGTAATTCTTAAATTAGATGTTACATATAATCTCGCATGGATCGCTACCACCATCCTCCCCGTTCCTGTCGCGAAGCAGTCATGCGTTCGAGTTTGAAGGGTATCTAAGTATATATAAGTACTATCTTTCTTTTTCTTACCTATGCTGATAGCCTTGAGAGGCTATATCAGCTTCGTTCTAACGTCTAATTAAGTTCACGGGGCTCAAACCGGGAGTGTTGCTAACACTGGCCCTAGCAAGAGCAGTGCTTCGCAGAATCTACCACCGGATCGAAAACGCGACCCACTGAGAAGATCCGGCGAGAAACTCAGTGGGCTGTGTCTGTGGGTTAATTCACTCTTGGAGCCCTGAGCCTGTCCTCATGCCTCTAGGTTTGTTCACGTTGCAAGAACCAGATAACCACTTAACAACAGACGTGACGTAAGCTCGCTAGCCCACCGACGCAGTAAAAGATAAGAAGATGCTGAGAGATAATTCAAAATTACTCAGTATAATTAGTACAAGTTCTATCAAACATTTAAGGCTTATCGCTCGTCAAACATTCTCCAAATAATTTTCAAAGTTCTCTCTCTCACTTTGTCTGAAAATTAATTCACACTAAAATTATTTCTTAGTTCCCCCAGTAATAATTTAGATTGAATTCAATTGAAAAGTTCTCGTGCCTTTCGATTTTAAGCCTTAGCAACGACGACTATGAGTACTTCGACAACTGAACGAACCACAACGGCGTGGATCCCGAAATCTACTCAGCCATGTGAGTATAAGGGAGTAGAAGTAATACGGGCCTCTTTATCTATCTTATATATCTTCTCCTTTTATATTATGTATAACGCTATAGCGGTCAAATTTTAGTATATTCATTTGAATATATATTACTACTCTTTTCTATTACTAACTATAGGTATTCATTTGAATATACTAACTCATTTGAATATTGTATAATATATATATAATAGGTACTATATTATATTTACCTATGAAGTTGCCGTTTCACAATTCAAATGTAACATCGGACCTTGCGCCGACAGATTTCTACTTTTTCCAAAGCTTGGACAATTTCTTGGCAGAAAAAAAATTCAATGCCGAGAGGCCGTATAAAATGCTTTTGAAGAGTTTGTTGGCTCCCGTGCACTTGACTACTTCAAGAAGGGCATTGAAAAAATACCACTGCGCTAGCAGAGGTCCATTGACACCAATGACACCAGGGGTTCATATTTTTATTGATAAAAACTTTCCTTATATTAATCAACAATTTCGTATTTTTGTGTTTATGTACATAGGTAGGTATGTGTCTCATAATTGTATTTATTGCCTTTATTAGAATATGTGACTATATATATATATATATATATATATATTATATCTAATTTATGTTTCTATGCGCCTACTATTATTCCTACATTGCTTGGCTAGTATACAACGCCATGAGCATTAAGCCTACCAATGCATTTAAATACATGAAGTGTAATAAATAAAAATACATTAAGTTAATTTAAAAAAATGTGGGAGATGCGTACACTAATTTCTCCAGCACTTTCCTGATAGATGTGAACTTCGGTTTCTATGGTTTCTTCACACGACCATTCTCGGCGGCGGAACTGACCGCGGACCATAGTACGGATGACAATTATGTTGTCATTCATTGTTGTTGTTAGTTTATAGATTAAGATTACAGGCAGCGGCAGAATAACAGCGATAGTTTCAGCTATCACAAAGCTGAGCCGCGGCCTTTTTATCTCCACTGTGTCAGTATAGTATATTGTAGTATTGTTTAGAATTAGAATTTTTATTTTATGTTAATTGAAAAGTTATTTGTCTTATGGAGTAAATACATGTAATTATTATTATTATCTTATATTTATTTAAAATCTTATTAATTACATAATATTTTTTAAAAAAGATATTAAAAATACAATTTTTAAAAAACACTATATAAAAATAGATTTCCGCTGATGGCGGTATCTACGACACAAGCCACCAGTGGTTAGGACTCCAGAGTGAGAAACTTCCTCACAATGCGTGCAGTATCGAGTATTATTATTATTATTATTATTATTATGTTGCTCGCTTTCATAAATACGAGATGCGGATCGATACGAATTGCGGATTAATTACGGGTTTTTTTATACAACAGCATAAGTGGTTGTGATTTTTTTTTTCACTTACTTAGATGATGGAATTTGATTAGCAGATGCAGAATTAGAAGTGAGCGTTGATGACGAGGGCCAGAAGTATTCGAATGAAGACAGTTTCGTGGTTGTGCTCAGCCAACAGCAAATGCAGAACATTGGTAACTACATTTCTAAAGATAGTTTCTTTTTTTTGTTTTTTATTGCTTAGATATGTGGACGAGCTCACAGCCCACCTGGTGTTAAGTGGTTACTGGAGCCCATAGACATCTACAACGTAAATGCGGCACACACCTTGAGATATAGTTCTAAGGTTTCAGTATAGTCACAACGGCTACCCCACCCTTCCAACCGAAACGCATTACTGCTTCACGGCCGAAATAGGCGGGGTGGTGGTACCTACCCGTGCGGACTCACAAGAGGTCCTACCACCAGTTTTCTTCATAAAATGATTGCTGCTATATATGTATAGTGATAAGTTACCGCGGATCGTTAAAGTTTAAAATTTGAAGTCGTCATGGCCTCTACGATAAGGCGCCCGGTACATTCGTTTCGGGGGATGCGAATCTGTCGATCGGTGTTCGAATCCCACAGGCAGTTACTAATTTTTCTGATGAAATACGTACTTAACACGTGCTCATTGAGCTCATGCCACAACATCGTTTAATGAAAATCAAAACCGCGAAAATTGTAATTTGCTTAATTACTGGTGGTAAGGCGTCTTAGGAGTCCGCACAAGACGGTACCACCACCCTGCTTATTTCTACCGTGAAGAAACAATGCGTTTAGGTTTGATGGGGGTAGCACCCGTTTTACTATACAGCTGAAAATTAGAACTTATGTTTCATGGGGGGTGAGGATTTACATTAGAGATGTCTATGAGCTACAGTTACCACTTAACACCAGGTGGGACATGAGTTCGTCCACCCTTATAGTAAATAAATAAAATAGCATTCATAGCATCCGGCGAGGAATCTTAAGGAAAAACTATCGAAAAACACGTACAGTTTGATATTTACGAAAGCAGAAAAATAATTGACCATTTTCGTTATATTCGTAATTCATGTAAAGCTTAATTTGAAAAATGGATGGAGAGACGTGGCAGTAGTATATATCGATCGGTAATGGAATGATTTAAAAAAATATTTGCTCTAATAATTATCCAAGGCTGAACGTTATTAAGGACAAAAGGCAATCATCGATAACTCTAGTTCTATGAAAACAAAATAAATAAGCACTAAGGTGACCTGAAGCGATAATACCCTTCGTGTTGAAGCAATAATACCTTTGGGGATGAATTATTATTTCAACACTTTTGTTAACAGTTCTCACTTGAAACTTGACCAACCTTAGAGATAGATACTCAATAGTTCTATTTACTTCATTAATCTGATTACAATTATTGTGATCATACAAAATTATTTACCTTAACGCTTACTTAGAGCTGCGTCTGGATTCTGTTAGTTGTTGTTCTTAGTTTTTAGATGTTGAATATGGATGTATGTATGTATAATTTGGTCATTCGCAGATTTGTCTCCGAGTTCGTGACCAGAACACGGGCTGGACCACTGGTCTATGTGGTCGTCGGCCCCAAAACTGAACACTCCGAGCTTTTACGTAATATTGTTTGTAACTCGCATAGTTTAGTAATACAATTGTTTGTGTAACATAATTTTATGAATGGTGAATAAAGTATATACGTGATAATACTTTTTTTTTTTTTTTGATGAAGTTCAGCTCCCTTCAAATGCCTTTCCATGAGATATGGCTGTAACTGTAACTATACTGAGACCTTGGAACTGATATCTCAAGTTGGGTGGCGCATTTACGTCGTAGGGTATGGGTTCCAGTAACCGCTTAACACGAGGTGAGCCCTGAGCTCGTCCACCCATCTAAGCAATAAAAAAGGCATGTAACCGCACAAGTAAGGTTTTAAATCCTTTCCTTGACTTCACTGGCTAATACATTCTTTGGTGATCGAGCTCTCTCGGTAATAGCTATGCAAGCTCAGAGACATCACAACGTGAATGCGACCTCCCATCTTGAGACATAAGGCTTAAATTTCTGGGCGATAGCCTATGTCCGAGATAGGCAGTTTTAAATTGAGAACAATGAACAAGCTGATAATGAGAAACGCATTCGTAGTTAGGCAAACGAACTCTTGATCCGTCTAGTGTTAAATAGTCACCGGAACCCACAGTGTAAAAAATGAGCTCGGAATTTTTTATAGCATTATAAAAACGATAATCCTATCTTTCGATACAGAACTCAGACTGCTTTGTGACGAAAATAGAATAATAATTATTTGAGTCGTCGTAGCTAAATCATAAGATGCCTAGTGTGCTCGCATCGAAGAGTGCGACTTTACCGATATTTAAATTTCGCATTTAGATGCCCACTCGTTTTTCTATGGAAATTCGTACTTAGCACTATGACTTCTACGTTGAAGACGAACAAAACCGCAACAATTATTATTACAACAACCGCAACAAATATTTACTGGTGGTAGGACCTCTTGTGAGTCGGCACGGGTAGGTACCACCACTCCGCCTATTTCTGCCGTGAAGTAGTAATGCAATTCGGTTTGAATGGTAGGGCAAGCCTTGTAACTAACTATACTGAGACCTTAGAACTTATATCTCAAGGTGGGTGGCGCATTTACGTCGTAGATGTTTGTGGGTTCCAGTAACCACTTAACACCAGGTGAACTTTGAGCTCGTCTATCCATCTAGGCAAGATTTTTTTTTATTACGTATTACTATTTATCTATTATGACGTCTTGACATCTCACACACGAGATTAAAGAGTTTTCATTTAAGTGATTTGTTTTCTAATTTACTTCTATTTCTTAAATTTGAAGGTCAGTATTACGAAACAACATTACAATTTCATTCTCCCGTCGAGAAGCAGGAAAAAAAAACTTGCGCATTTGTTTTAAAGGACCGCTTTAAAGGCTGTGGCGGCTACACCTGAGGTTTCAATTTAAAATTGCCATCTCCGTTCTGAGACTACAGTACGATATCGCGTTGTGTAGGCCACCTATCCAACATCCAGAATAAAGCACATTGGCTTAGTGCAAAAAGAATAAATACTCAGATTAGGTAATCATCGTGAAATATATTTTAAGTCTCTTTTTTTTTTCAAAAATAATTTGGTTGATATTTAACAATATTTAAAGTTGACTGCCATGTGGGTTACCGATGCCATACGTGGTGCATTAAAGTATTTATTTTCGACTTCTCTCTTCGATCTTCTTAACCAGTACAATATTTAGTAGACTCTGGGAAAGACGAATCCGAAGATACTGAGAATGAATCTATTTCTAAGAGACCTAAAAGTCTAATACATACATTAACAAACAAAAGAAGGCAAAGTTACGCAATCCGGGCGTTAGTAACAGAAATTGGCATAATTACTTCAGTGCGCCACGTAGTGCCCGTAACCTCTTGTGAATCCGCGCGGGTAGGTACTACCACCCTGCCTATTTCAACCGTGAAGCAGTAATGCGTTTCGGTTTGAAGGGCGGGGCAGCATTTATAACTACATATACTGAGACCTTAGAACTCATATCTCAAGGTGGGTGGTGTGGCACTTACGTTGAAGATGTCTATGGGCTACGGTAACAACTTAACACCAGGTGGGCTGTGAGTTCGTTAGTTTTTATAACCTGTTCTGTCCTGTTTATCTAAATATAATAATAAATTTTAAAACCTCTTAAATTGTAAGACCTCGAAATCTTAACTTGTCTTCTTTTTAAAGAACTTCTTCTGTACAGCCTGTATAGTAACTACAGACAATGCAATCGAAGTTGCAAAAACGATTTCCACATTCACGACAATTCAAAAAATAAATGTTAATTACATACCATAGTCCTGTTCTGTAGTCCAAAAAAAAACGAAATAAATGACCCTTTGAGACCCCACTTCTATTCACTGCGGAGTAATAAAGTAACCGCTTTTTTAACCTAACCACACGATATTACACAATAAATTTTCTTTTTTTACTTATTTACGAAAACGTTCACATTTTTAAAGTCACACTAGGATAAACTGCCTAAGCTTGCTCCGGTTGACAATTTCAATACTGCTAGATACAATACGATCAGTTTTAACAACTAATCTCCTAAGTTCTGTTACTATAGGTGCTTAATAACAAAATCGACTACAGGCCTGTCACAGACAGAATCTTTTTTTGGATAGATGGGTGAACGAGCCCATAGATATCACGGCGGTAATGTTGGTTCCTATCTTGAGGTCGTAATAGTATAACAGCTTTCTCACTATTCTAACAATATTGCATGGCTGCTTCGCCTCAAAATAAGCAGGATGATGGCTATCTTTCAAAGCTATTTGATGTTCAGGATCTTGGTGTATCTAGTTCTTTTTATCTCGTTGTCGAAGGTAGTGTGATAACCTTGTATCACCTTGACCGCGTTCATGCGTAACGAACGACGCAGCACCACAGTGCTTAGATGGGTCATAGTGTGGCTCTATAAGGTCACGACCGTATAGTCTTCCACGTGGACTCCCGTGCACATGTACCGGGGTAACCATTTCAGGTGAGGGCCTGTTTTTGTGGTATCGTCGCCGTTTGCCACTACAAACGGGTCACTGGGTTAAGCCACCCAGGTTTGTGGGGTCGTATTTATTTGTAGGGCCTCCAGCGTAGCGCCATCAAGTTATCAAACCGCAATGGGGCAGGCGATCTTCAGGCTGCGGGGGAGGCCTGTCTTATTTGATGGCTACAACCCGCCGCTCAGTAAGTCAAACTCGTGGGGAAAAGTTCTCGCGGGCATCCGTTTAAAATGCCAATCATGCAATAAAAAAAAATCCTTCCCTAAGCACATAGTAATGAATATTTGAAGATAGAACTTAAGTAGGGTTGACGTCAGAAAGACGACCTAATAGTAAAGCACATGCCAAACCCCTATTCTGGTTTGGTTAGAGAACATGCTGCGCCGAACCTTAATTATGTGGGAGAAGGGCAAGATGAAGAAGTTTTTTTTTGTACGAGACTCATAAATTTTGATAAATAAAATCAATCTAAAATAAATCTTGTTGTATCACTGATTAAAATCAAATTTCCACAACTGAGCGACCACTAGTCATTACTAATTATTGTTCGAAATTCGATAATAGAATTTAATGAAACAATGTTATTGGGATTAAATATTGTATTTACAGCTTAATTTAGTAGTAATACCTTGCTATTCAGTACATTGTACTTACACGGTTAAATAATATTCAGTTTGATTGATGAAAATCTTTATGATTTTTATTTTCAAATTACATTGTTGTTTATGGCCCACCAAAAAAGCATTTACAATTGAAATAGAAGTTACACGAGATTTTAAAATGTCTGTATTCATTAATTTCCCAAAATATTTATGATTTGCGAAAATCCGAGAGCAATTGATAGACGATGTTTAATTTAGATTTGTCATAGTTGAACTTGAATTCACTTTTACGTCTCGAGATACGAAGAGTTCAGGATGTTTCTGCACGAGCGGAGCGTCCTTCGGACAGTACCTGATGAGCTCAGCGACAGTGCAAGATCGTAAGCAACATTCATTCGCGACCTGTCTACGAACACGCCGCCATTTTCCTTCAACGAGATGCCGTTGCTTGGTCGTGTCTTGTTGTAGATCTTTAGGCGCCATTTTTTCTGTAAAAACAATAACAACATAAAAACAGATTTTTCTTTTAATTTTTACTATTTTAATCAAATTGTAATTCAATTTTGTAAGTTAACCAACTAGATTATCTAAGTTTTATTGATTTATTTGAACATCATTGTTCACATTTAATATACATCTTTATTCGTCAGAATATATTATAATATTAGCCTCATAAATATTTATGGTACGTACTGTTATGCGGGGTTCGGGAGTTCACGTTTTTAAAAAAAACTATTTGAATGTTATGTTGAACACTATATTACACTGATTTGGTATAAGATTTAGTAATTGTTAAAAAAAATAGAATGTGACGAAAGCAACGAGTACGTCAAATGAGGGCTGAGATTGAACTGTCGTTTTATTATTAAAGTTATACGAGCTTCTCGCATGAAATGCTGAGTGCATGACTTAATGTGTCTACAGTTCAATATAGTCATACAAAGGGGAAGATACAACAACCCCCCCTTTAAGAGGAAACTTATCGAAAAATAAGTTTTCAATATGGTTTAACCCATACGCAAACGAGGTTGTTCTATTTCCAGTTCTGTTTCAGAATTTTGTTCTTTATTAATAGTTAATTTATTAGTTCTGCATAATCGTTGGAGATACTCATTCTTTTTACAAACATAAAAAATCAAAATACTAAAACATAGAATAAAAGCTAGCACACTTAAAATAGGAAAACTAAAAAGACTATTCCAGTCACCTGGATATCGTACAAGATCTTATTCCTTAATTATTTTATCCGAGGCAATATTTATAGTTTATAGACTATCTAAATTAACATTCTGTATTTTAGACATTGGCAAGATCTATTTTCTAATTTGGCTTAAATTACAGCAACTATCATTAAGAATATTAAAAGTAGATACAATACTAGGCACATCAATCTTAGGTGAGATTTTCCTCACTAGCTTAAAGTTCTTATGATAACCAATACATTTAGTTGGAATACTAAGTACACCTGTACCAGATATAACAATTTCGGTTACATCATTGTTATCGCATTCAATCGAGAGTTTGGAAGATTTAGATTGGACAAATATAAATTTCTCATTATGTAGCTTATGCCATATATCTATGTCACCATGTATTATTTTATATTGACAACTTTCAGGTAAAGTTGTTGCAGATTTTGTAATAATTTCAATTTCACAGGACAGATTTCCGGGTATTGTATAAACATCAGTCGATTCACACAGGTAAGTATAACATTTTTACAGAGATTTAACTGTGACCATTTAGTAAATTCTTTGACGGCACATGCCTTTTCCGCTTTGCCCTCTAGGCTGAGTATATATTTTAAGAGAACCTCTGCTTGAGAAGCGGATGCTAAATTTATGGCGTTGCGACAATTATTTAAGAACGATGTTAGCTTATCTCGTGAACCATCGAAAGTACCGATGAATACGATAAGGACGTTTAGAGCAATTTCCGACATTGTAACAGATTCTTCTTCTTTAACCTCTCTCTGTTTCGTCATTCAATATATGATTTATGTATATGTTATTCAAATATTTATTTATATTTATGTGACTTAAAATGATTAAAACAAACAAACAGGAAGAAAAAAAAAAGAAAAAAAATTATAATAATATTTTACATAAAATTTGAAATTGAAAAAGCACGATGTATAACTTATAGTGGTGAGATTATTACAAGGTTAAAACTTACGGCTATTAAAATTATCTAAAAGTTGCACGCGCGCGGGCGGTCCTTATCGCTTCTAAGAAATTTCAGATTGCATTGAATGTTAGACGCGTGGTTTGAATATTTTTAATATGATATTTTATTTTAAATCGCAGGGTAATTAATTATTAATAAATTTATAAAACGAATTAGTGATTATACAATTAAGTCGGTGAATTATCAAGTTCCTTATCTTAGGACTTACAGTACGAGGAGCATCTCGAAGTTGGAGCACGAAGAACTGGGAGACGGGATGATGATGATTTGATTCTTGAGTAGGACTTCCTTCACGCGATGAGTTTGAATATATGATAAAATTTGCGCCTTACTTTTCTTCTCACAGGAAGCAGTGGAATTTGATGTGTAGTTTTCTCATAGAAAACAGTGGAATTTGAAGAGTCGTTTTTCACAGGAGACAGTGGAATTTGATAAGTTGTTTTTCAAAGGAGACGGTGGAATCTGATGTCTTGTTTTTTACAGGAGACAGTGGAATTTGAATAGTGTTTTTTTTTTTCACAGGAGACGGTGGAATTCGCAGTGTCTTGACAATTTTCTCCTCTATTCTTTCCAGGATACAGTGTTTATTTTCTTCTTTTTCTTCTTTCAAAGCTCACATTATTATTATTTTTCTTTTCTTTTTTTATTGCTTAGATGGATGGACGAGCTCACAGCCCACCTGGTGTTAAGTGGTTACTGGAGCCCATAGACATCCACAACGTAAATGCGCCACCCACCTCGAGATATAAGTTCTAAGATCTCAGTATAGTTACAACGGCTACCCCACCCTTCGAACCGAAACGCATTACTGCTTCACGGCGGAAATAGGCGGGGTGGTGGTACCTACCCGTGCGGACTCCCAAGAGGTCCTACCACCAGTGAAAAACAGCCAAATTCTCCAGAATCACGGTGATGACTTCAGGTACGGAGACGAACCGAGGACCGGGTTTTTGGATCCCTTTCACGCTGCCACCAATGTTATGCGGGGTTCGGGAGTTCACGTTTTAAAAAAAACTATTTGAATGTTATGTTGAACACTATATTACACTGATTTGGTATAAGATTTAGTAATTGTTAAAAAAAATAGAATGTGACGAAAGCAACGAGTACGTCAAATGAGGGCTGAGATTGAACTGTCGTTTTATTATTAAAGTTATACGAGCTTCTCGCATGAAATGCTGAGTGCATGACTTAATGTGTCTACAGTTCAATATAGTCATACAAAGGGGAAGATACAACAACCCCCCCTTTAACAGGAAACTTATCGAAAAATAAGTTTTCAATATGGTTTAACCCATACGCAAACGAGGTTGTTCTATTTCCATTTCTGTTTCAGAATTTTGTTCTTTATTAATAGTTAATTTATTAGTTCTCCATAATCGTTGGAGATACTCATTCTTTTTACAAACATAAAAAATCAAAATACTAAAACATAGAATAAAAGCTAGCACACTTAAAATAGGAAAACTAAAAAGACTATTCCAGTCACCTGGATATCGTACAAGATCTTATTCCTTAATTATTTTATCCGAGGCAATATTTATAGTTTATAGACTATCTAAATTAACATTCTGTATTTTAGACATTGGCAAGATCTATTTTCTAATTTGGCTTAAATTACAGCAACTATCATTAAGAATATTAAAAGTAGATACAATACTAGGCACATCAATCTTAGGTGAGATTTTCCTCACTAGCTTAAAGTTCTTATGATAACCAATACATTTAGGTGTACATAATACTAAGTACATAATACTAAGTACACCTGTACCAGATATAACAATTTCGGTTACATCATTGTTATCGCATTCAATCGAGAGTTTGGAAGATTTAGATTGGACAAATATAAATTTCTCATTATGTAGCTTATGCCATATATCTATGTCACCATGTATTATTTTATATTGACAACTTTCAGGTAAAGTTGTTGCAGATTTTGTAATAATTTCAATTTCACAGGACGGATTTCCGGGTATTGTATAAACATCAGTCGATTCACACAGGTAAGTATAACATTTTTACAGAGATTTAACTGTGACCATTTAGTAAATTCTTTGACGGCACATGCCGTTTCCGCTTTGCCCTCTAGGCGGCTGAGTATATATTTTAAGAGAACCTCTGCTTGAGAAGCGGATGCTAAATTTATGGCGTTGCGACAATTATTTAAGAACGATGTTAGCTTATCTCGTGAACCATCGAAAGTACCGATGAATACGATAAGGACGTTTAGAGCAATTTCCGACATTGTAACAGATTCTTCTTCTTTAACCTCTCTCTGTTTCGTCATTCAATATATGATTTATGTATATGTTATTCAAATATTTATTTATATTTATGTGACTTAAAATGATTAAAACAAACAAACAGGAAGAAAAAAAAAGAAAAAAAAATATAATAATATTTTACATAAAATTTGAAATTGAAAAAGCACGATGTATAACTTATAGTGGTAAGATTATTACAAGGTTAAAACTTACGGCTATTAAAATTATCTAAAAGTTGCACGCGTGCGGGCGGTCCTTATCGCTTCTAAGAAATTTCAGATTGCATTGAATGTTAGACGCGTGGTTTGAATATTTTTAATATGATATTTTATTTTAAATCGCAGGGTAATTAATTATTAATAAATTTATAAAACGAATTAGTGATTATACAATTAAGTCGGTGAATTATCAAGTTCCTTATCTTAGAACTTACAGTACGAGGAGCATCTCGAAGTTGGAGCACGAAGAACTGGGAGACGGGATGATGATGATTTGATTCTTGAGTAGGACTTCCTTCACGCGATGAGTTTGAATATATGATAAAATTTGCGCCTTACTTTTCTTCTCACAGGAAGCAGTGGAATTTGATGTGTAGTTTTCTCATAGAAAACAGTGGAATTTGAAGAGTCGTTTTTCACAGGAGACGGTGGAATTTGAAGAGTCGTTTTTCACAGGAGACGGTGGAATTTGAAGAGTCGTTTTTCACAGGAGACAGTGGAATTTGATAAGTTGTTTTTCAAAGGAGACGGTGGAATCTGATGTCTTGTTTTTTACAGGAGACAGTGGAATTTGAAGTGTTTTTTTTTTCACAGGAGACGGTGGAATTCGCTGTGTCTTGACAATTTTCTCCTCTATTCTTTCCAGGATACAGTGGTTATTTTCTTCTTTTTCTTCTTTCAAAGCTCACATTTTTTTCTTTTTTTTTTTTATTGCTTAGATGGATGGACGAGCTCACAGCCCACCTGGTGTTAAGTGGTTACTGGAGCCCATAGACATCTACAACGTAAATGCGCCACCCACCTCGAGATATAAGTTCTAAGATCTCAGTATAGTTACAACGGCTACCCCACCCTTCGAACCGAAACGCATTACTGCTTCACGGCGGAAATAGGCGGGGTGGTGGTACCTACCCGTGCGGACTCCCAAGAGGTCCTACCACCAATGAAAAAAGCCATACCTAGAAGGTATGGCTGTTTTCCACTGGTGGTTCTCCAGAATCACAGTGATGACTTCAGGTACGGAGACGAACCGAGGACCGGGTTTTTTGATCCCTTTCACGCTGCCACCAATGTTATGCGGGGTTCGGGAGTTCACGTTTTAAAAAAAACTATTTGAATGTTATGTTGAACACTATATTACACTGATTTGGTATAAGATTTAGTAATTATTAAAAAAAAATAGAATGTGACGAAAGCAACGAGTACGTCAAATGAGGGCTGAGATTGAACTGTCGTTTTATTATTAAAGTTATACGAGCTTCTCGCATGAAATGCTGAGTGCATGACTTAATGTGTCTACAGTTCAATATAGTCGTACAAAGGGAAGATATAACAGTACGCTAAAATCTCAATCGACTTTTTAAGGCCCGAAACTAAATAAATAAAAATGTTAACGCATAATATTTTGGTAGTGAATGAAATATTTGAAAATTTGCAGCTAAGCGAATTTCAGGATTAAAATAGGAGACGTGACTCGGGATTTTATTAAAATAGTTGATGTACTCATAGTCTCAAGCCGAACCGTACACAATATGTTTTATTATAGGTATATTTAATACATAATAATCAGTCTTTACAATAAGTAAAATTATTCATGAATCTATCCTAACTTGATAATACACCATATCATTATTTAAATTTTAAAATATACTATAAAAAATATTTTAATTGAGTGAACTCAATAAAAAGTATAGAAAAACCGTGATTAGAAAGGAAATCACATTAAATTGGCCCGGATTAATAGACGTGTCTAATTTGGTCAACAACACACCTTTTTATAAATAACTAAATATTATAGTTTTCTAAAAAAGAAAAACGATTCCGTGCAGTATCCAGTGGTGGCAGACGAGAATAAAAGAACGTGGCTTAAAACTTAACATGTATGAGAACGGTGTAGCTCTCGTAAAAAGTAAGTAAGTAAGTACTTGTTAAGTTTACTTCTAGTGTATTTTTATTTCAGAATACCGTTCTGTCATCAATATACTCCCACTCTTCACGGCATTGGTGAAAGTTAAACGACCCGCCCTCGCTTCGCTTCGGAAACATTAAAACACACATGAAACCAAAAAATAAAAATAACAAAAAAAATTATTAAAAAAAGTAGCCTATGTTCATCAGGGACAATGTCGGCTTCTAATGGAAAAAGAATTTTTCAAATCGGTCCAGTAGTTTCGGAGCCTATTCGAAACAAACAAACAAACAAATCTTTCTTCTTTATAATATTAGTATAGATACACGAATAGAAAATTACCACAACTGCAAAACACTAAATACAAAACCACAATGGCCTTATCGCTAAGAGCGATATCTTCTGGAAACAATCCGGCGGATAAGAGTTTCTAAGTAAAAAAATATATCGCGGCGTACATAACGTGATAAAAAAAAAATTAAAGTAAACAATTTATGCATAAATGTCACGTTTACATAAATGCAATACCAATGATAAATACAATAAACATATTAAATATATTAATCAGAAATTTTACCCTTACACAAAGTTAGTTAATTAGTTTATACAGTAGATAAATGTACTTTACAATAATTACTTTACTTATGATTTAGCACAAATTCAACGCCGGCAACCGTAGTGACAATACTGACTGATCTATTGAATTGAGACCAAAATCGGTTTTCATTCAAGCTTTTGAACTATGAAGGTTGTATTGGACAAAGACGATGTACGCGAAATAATTTTATTCGCGCTCATGTGCACGTGTTGACTGACAGACGGCATCGGAGTCCACAGTTCAAAGTCTCAAATGCACCCTCATATCGACCAAAACAGAACAAAAATGACAACAATCAACACGTGCAATCAAACCACACAATTAATAAAGTAAATGAATTGATAACCTATCATTAGCGATGTACCTCTTTTGACAATCTTGTAAGCGTTATTACAGAAGTTGAAGATGATCGTGGAGAGCCATCTGCTGCAGCATTTCACTTTGTCGTCGAGGCTGTACACCCTTTCCGCATTGTCGCCGAACACAATGGTGCTACTCCTCATGAGTATCAACATTATGTATATCTGAAAGAAAGAAAAAAAAAACTAATGTTTATTTCTTTTAAATATCGAAACAAATTAACAGATTACGAATTAACAGTTTAAATAAAAATTTTTAATGTATCTTAGAGCAACTTTTCAGTTTAGTTTTATTTTTATTTATTTTATAAAATAAATCAAATGAACCCACATAACATCGAAGTCTCATCTTCGAGAGTATCGATGTATCGGCGGACGGCTCGACAAATGCTCCCTATCAAAGTTACCTGATGAATGAAGCTGTCATCAGAGAGCACGTCTAAATATATCCCCCAATGGTCCAGCGTACGGAATTACTCGATAAATGCGTTTATAAAACATTGTCACGGCAATGCGATAACGGCTCCTCAAAACAAAATGTCACGTGATTTATTAGTGGGTGCTTAAAGCGCGGGCCACACTTGGAAGTGTATTCGTTTTATTTTAATTCAAATTCAAAACTCAATAATCTGCATTCGCTTACAAAGTTTGTTTAGTGGAACATAAAAGCTAACACATTAATTTAATTTTTTAAGAAAACATTTTGAATAAGATATTATGATTGTTATTTTTGAAACCGCCAAACCCTTTATAATGGTAGGCAGCGATTTGGCTGTGCCCCTGGCATTGCTAACGTCCATGAATGACAGTAACCATCAGGTGAGGCGTATGCTCATCTGTCAACAAAGTCATTAAAAAAACCAATTGTGGTTGGTTTTTTTTTATTGCTTAGATGGGTGGACGAGCTCACAGCCCACCTGGTGTAAAGTGGTTACTGGAGCCCATAAACATCTACAACGTAAATGCGCCACCCACCTTAAGATATAACTTCTAAGGTCTCAGTATAGTTACAACGTCTGCCCTATGCTTCAAACCGAAACGCATTACCGCTTCACGGCAGAAATAGGCAGGGTTGGTTGCCGAGTGATTGGTTTATAAAGATCAATACCAGTCTTGATAACAAACAAGAACTTATAGTTAGCTGAAATCTGAAACTGACCGGTGCAAGCTTCGATCATCAATTGTTGATCGAAGGGTGCAAGGAAATCTTAGTTATAGAGGACCCAGTCTGCGATAACTTACTCCGTACTTGCTTTGATATCTATTACTGCCTATTATCTATTACTGACATCAGAATCACCCGTCTTGAGAGATGAGGTCGATGTTTATATAATATTGTATCACAGTTTCACCCACCCAATAGAAATGAGTAGGATGCATTTAAAATACGCCCCACTACGAACAATATGCAGGTAATAGTTTAAATTCTATTTTAAATATGTTACGTTTTGTATTGTTTTTCTAAATGAAAAATACAAATTATAAATGCTTGGTTAAAAAGGCTTCACTTTACCGTAATTATGTAATTGATTTACATTTAAATGTACATGTTTAATTTACTGAATACATAAAGTTAATTGTTGAATGCGCTGATTATACATATCGGCTAATAGTTCTTCGTGTCTAGTGGTATTTTCCAGAGAATTGAACACTCATCCCGATAGAAGCATTCGTCACGTGCGGACGTGCTCATCGACCACTCGATCGCCCGGCCCTTGTTCGCCCGGCTTTTGTTAGCCCGGCCATTGTTCGCGCGGCCTGTGTTCGTAGTACATCTGCCGACAAAGTGTTGTCCTGGAAGTGTTTATTTGTTTTGTTTCTTTTTGTTATTTCTGTTTTGTTGTGTTCTTCTTTGTCCTGTAGTAATAGCGCCGCATCGCCACCTGCGTTCAATAGAACCGCTCAGGTCCGAGAAGTTGGGGCCTCGCCGCAAGGCGAGTGTTTTTAAGACCCGGGGCCGCCCCACCTGGGCACTCAGCGATCATAGACGCTGTATTTGCGGAGTTCCTCCGACTTCGCTACCCACAGCTCGCCTCAGAGTTTCTGACCTTCAAGGCTAATCACACTGCGAGCCCTCTCGAGGACTCCGCCGTGCTCTCTGCTCCTGCGTCGCCTGTACCTGCGTGCAAAGCTTCTGCATCGAGCACCGCAGCTTCCGTCGTGCCTGCCGCTCCCGTGTCGCCTATACTGGCGAGTAAAGCTGCTGCGTCGTCCACCATGGCCACCGTTTCAGCTGAGCGATCATCCGCGGCCTCCGTCGCGCCCTCTAAAACACCTACACTTGCTCGTAGATCACCTGCGTCCGCCTCCTCGTGCTCCGACTCTGACTAGGACATGGAGGTCGACCTCGCCCCCGCCTTATCGACGAATGGATTCACCCTGGTACAAAAGGGTAAGAAGCGTGCCGCGGAGTCTCGAGCTCCCGCGGCCGCTAAAATTAGCAAAGCCGCGAACGCGTCTCGCCCCCGCCCTCAGACTCCCGTTGCGCCCCGAGCCCGTGCCACTCCGACGCCGCGTCCGGTGGCACGAAATAAAACCCAGACCCCTCCTCCGGTTATGCTTCAAGAGAAGGCAACTTGGGATCGAGTTTGCCTGGCCCTTAAGGCCAAAAATATCAATTTCACGAATGCCCGTAATCTCGCGAACGGCATTCAAATTAAGGTTCAAACACCCGACGACCATAGGGCTCTCTCTTCTTACCTCCGTAAGGAGCGTATAAGTTTCCATACGTATACGCTCCAGGAGGAGCGCGAACTCCGTGCCGTCATACGTGGCATCCCTAAAGATTTGGATGCGGAGCTCGTCAAGGCCGACCTTCTCGAACAAAGCCTACCAGTTAACTCCGTACACCGCATGCACAGAGGCCGCGGAAGGGAGCCATACAACATGGTTCTCGTCGCCCTCCAGCCTACCCCTGAGGGTAAGCAAATATTCAGCATACGAACGGTCTGTAGGCTTTCCGGAATCGCCGTCGAAGCCCCACACAAGAAAGGCACACCTAGTCAGTGCCATAACTGTCAATTATACGGACGTTCTTCCCGTAACTGTCACGCGCGCAGTGTTAGCAACACTCCGGTTTGAGCCCCGTGAACTCACCTACACGTTAGGGCGAAGCATTGTTAGTTAGCCTTGAGAGGCTATTTCAGCGAAATGTGAAATGTGTCGAAGAGAGCCACTTATGCGTCCTCACGGCTACAAGACTTATCCAGAATAATCTTTTTTTCATTTTGAAGGTTTTTTTCAATTATGTAATGTTGTGTCCAAACTCATAAATTCTTATTTAACGGAAAGGTTTATTTATAGCGTTCATTGGGCAGCGGGTATTGAAATCGTTTTCGTGAATAGCTCCGTTTTTCGGAACCAAATTAGGAACATTTTTTACAAAACTATGTTAATTACTGTAACGCCCAGTCACCGTCTTCGTTGAACCCGTCGCTTGCGACGAAGGGCTCGACGAGCGAATTAACCCACTGAGTTTCTCGTCGAATCTTCTCAGTGGGTCACGTTTCCGATCCAATGATAATTCTGCGAAGCACTGCTCTTACTAGGGTCAGTGTTAGCATCACTCCGATTTGAGCCCCGTGAGCTCACCTACTAGCTAAGGCTACGCTGATATAGGTTCTCAAGACTATCAGCTTAGGTAGGAAAAATAAATAAATAAAACTCTAACGTCAGTATAGGATGTATTTTATAACAAATAAAAAAGTAGCTGTCGCTAAATATGTATGTATTCATTTTGTCAATTCTTATAGATAACTATTCTATGGTTTTTTTTTATTATTAATAAACATAGTCTGATCTCATTACCCATACACGACTTTACTAACCGCACTACGGTTCCGTCTCGTGTGGACCACCACTGACTCCTTAGAATGCAAATCTTTACATACCCACAAATAAATAATTATAAATAAAAGTAAAAAGCCTTTTATTTCCTGCTAAAATACAAAGTAAATAGGTATTTAATAAATTTTATTTCTCTTCACTTATGTTTGGCAGAAACCCATTCAACATGGTGAAGGCCTCCTCCAAGTCCTTCCATTTGATTCTATTTTGAGTTACCTGTATCCATCGAGGGCCAGCAATAGCTTTTATATCGTCCTCCCATTTTGATATCGGGCGACCCTTTTTTCTTTCCCTTGTGGCCCTTTCCATGCACTTATTCTTGCAGTCCATCTCTGGTCCTTAAGTCTGGCTACATGACCAGCCCATTTCCACTTCAAGTTTCTGGCATATTCGAGAGCATCTATAGATTTTTTCTCTAATTTTTGTGTGTCTGATTTTATGAATCTGTCTTATATTCTTCGCTTCCAATCTCCATCTCATTGCTTTTTCTTTCAAAGCTGATCTGTTTTCCTAAGTAAATATAGTCTGTGTATTTCAATAGTTCGTTTCCGACTGTTATTTTCTTTCTAGCACTATTTGTCATTACCATAGTTTTTGTTGTATTCATTTCTAAGCCTACTTTAATGCTGGCTCTGTGGAGAGACTCGACCATGTATTGAAGTTCTGAACCTGATTCTGCCAGCACTACTAAGTCTGCAAAGTGGAGATGAGTCAGATATTTATTTACCTTCAATATTTAAGCCGAGGTTTTTCCAATCTAGCTGTCTAAATATTGTTTCAAGTATGGCAATGAAAATTTTTGGGTACATGGGGTCTCCCTGTCTTACACCTCTTTTGATAGGAAATCTTGAGCCTATAGATTCTAGTTTTATTCTACTTGTATTAGTTTTATAAATGTTTTTAATTTATCTGTATATATTTATCATTCCCTTGGTTTTTTAGCGACTTCCATACACTATCATGTGACACAGTGTCAAATGCCTTTTAGTAGTCTATGTATGCAATGTATAGTGTTCTCTGTTTTTCTTGGTATTTTTCTATCAAAAGTTCCAAGGTGTGAATGTGGTCCACTGTAGAAAAACCTTTTCTGAATCCTGCTTATTCAATTGGTTGATTTTTCTCTAGCGAATCACTGATTCTGTTGTTTATAATTGACGAAAAGAGTTTATAGAAACAAGACAGTAAACTAATAGCCCTGTAATTTGTTATGTCCTTTGGATCTCCTTTTTTATAGATTAAAATGATATTTGATTGTGTCCATTGGATGGGGATCTCAGCACTTTCTAATATCTGGTTAAATAATTTTGCCACAGGTGGTGCTAATATTCTGTCAGCTGTCTTTAAAGCGTCGTTTGGGCCTGGGCTTTTGTCGGTTTTCAGGTTTTTTATTGCTGCGATAAGTTCAGATTCTAGATTGGTTGTACCTTTTCGTTGTTTGATATATTATTGCTTGGTGTTATGTCTACATATGAGGGTGTATTTTTACTGTATAGTAATTTATAAAATTCAGTGACCATATTAATGATATCATTGCGGTTTATTATTATAGATTGTTTTCCTGATGTTTTAAGTCCTTCGATCCAAGTTTTATTTTGTGTTAGCTCTTTATAAGACTTTTTTGTGCTGCCTGAAACTTGTAAGTGCCTAGTTATGGTATCCTGTCTGTATTTTGCGTAATCTTGCCTGATATACTTGCTAATGAGTTTGTATAAAGCTGATATTTCGTTTCTTATACTTCTGGTTTTGTTTTTAGTCTTCTGTAATTCTTTTCTTCTAGTCATGAGTTTTTCTGTGCGTAGCGATATTTTTTTGTGCTTGTTCGAATTGTGTTCCTTGTGCGTTTCTTCTAGGCTTCTCGAGATGGCATTGATTATTTTGTTGTATTGGGTCTGTACATTATCAGCATCTTTTAAGTTCTGGTCATCGGCACGTAACAGGTGGAATTGGAGATTTTATCTGAATCGGAGTATTTCGCTTTCGTATTTTAGATTCGCACACTGCTTGGTCTTGTATCTAGTCCTGGATATTTTAATTTTTTCAAGAGATATAGTTGCTCTCACTGGCCGGTGGTCTGATGGGTAGTTGATATTTAGAACTTCCACATTATGAAACTTCTGTGGTATGTTAGATAGAATGTAATCGATCTCATTTTTATATTTGTCACTTGGTGAACGCCATGTCCATCTGCGGTTTGGTTTCTTATAATAGTATGTGTTCATTATTGCAGTCTTAGTTTCTAGAGCGAAATCTATCAATTTTTGGCCTATTTCATTTCTTGTACCAAGACCAAATGGTTCTGTAACCAAGAATTCCTCGTGTCTTGGTTTACCTATCTTAGCATTGAAGTCGCCCATTATGATATAGTCTTTATGCCCTGACTTCCTAGCCCTTTTGACTGTCTCATAAAAATAAGAAATATCTTCTTCTTTTGCTGCTTCTGTGAGTGCGTAGACTTGAATGATTGATAGTTTTAATTAACACCAGGTGGGACATGAGTTCGTCCATCCTTATAATAAATAAATAAAATAGCATTCATAACATCCGGCGAGGAATCTAAAGGAAAAACTTCCCAAAAACACTTACGTACAATTTGACATTTACAAAAGCAGAAAAAAATTAGACCATTTTCGTTATATTCGTAATTCATGTAAAGCTTAATTTGAAAATGGATGGAGAGACGTGGCAATAGTATATATCGATCGGTAATGGAATGATTTAAAAAAATATTTGCTCTAAAATTTATCCAAGGCTGAACGTTTTTAAGGACAAAAGGCAATCATCGATAACTCTAGTTCTATGAAAACAAAATAAATAAGCACTAAGGAGACCTGAAGCAATAATACCTTTGGGGATGAATTATTATTTCAACACTTTTTAGTTAACTGCTCTCACTCTTGAATCTTGACCAACTTTAGAGATACTCAATAGTTCTATTTACTTCATTAATCGGATTACAATTATTGTGATCATACGAAATTACTTACCTTAACGCTCACTTAGAACAATCCACTTAGAAGTGTGAGGCGTGACGATTGATGTATTTGGTTAAATTCCTCCTCCTTACATCGTATTCCTCATTGCTGAGGGTCGTGACCACCTTTTTGTATCCTACCATCCTTCGCAAGCACTATCTTTCTCCATCTATTCTTGTCTCTGGCGGTTTGGAGGGCGTTGTGAAATGTGCAATCACACATTAATTAAATTTGGTTATGGCATTGGTTGAATTAAAATTACATTAATCTTGATCCAAAATGCGTTTGGCTTTTGTTAGTTGTTGTTGTTAGCTGTTAGATATTGTATATGGATGTATGTATATATAATTTGATCATTCGCAGATTTGTCTCCGAGTTCGTGACCAGAACACGGGCTGGACCACTGGTCTATGTGGTCATCGGCCCAAAAACTGAACACTCCGAGCTTTTACGTAATATTGTTTGTAACTCGCATAGTTTAGTAATACAATTGTTTGAGTAACATAATTTTATGAATGGTGAATAAAGCACGTGATAATACTTGTATGTTTTTTTGATGAAGTTCAGCTCCCTTCAAATGCCTTTTCATGAGATATGGCTGTAACTGTAACTATACTGAGATCTTGGAACTGATATCTCAGGTGGGTGGCGCATTTACGTCGTAGGTATGGGTTCCAGTAACCACTTAACACGAGGTGGGCCGTGAGCTCGTCCACCCATCACACAAAGAGTTTTCATTTAGGTGATTTGTTTTCTAATTTACTTCTATTTCTTAAATTTGAAGATCATTACAATTTCATTCTCCCGTCGAGAAGCAGAAAAAAAAACTTGCGCATTTGTTTTAAAGGACCGCTTTAAAGGCTGTGGCGGCTACACCTGAGGTTTCAATTTAAAATTGCCATCTCCGTTCTGAGACTACAGTACGATATCGCGTTGTGTAGGCCACCCATCCAACATCCAGAATAAAGCACATTGGCTTAGTGCAAAAAGAATAAATACTCAGATTAGGTAATCATCGTGAAATATATTTTAAGTTTCTTTTTTTTTTTCAACAATAATTTGGTTAATATTTAACAATATTTCAAGAGTACGTCGGTGGTGCATGGTTTGAAACAGCATTCGTTGACGATTCCTTGGCGCTTGTAGCGGGTCCAGTCAGCGGAGAGGGCGCCTCGACGGCCAGTCCACGGCCAATCGCCGTGCAGGTCTACATCTTCGAAATCATCTGTTGAAATAGTGTGTTTAATTATAAAATTTCAAAATCAGTTTCATAATTCTGCAGTAAGTCGAAATTAAACTTCATTAAAAAAATATAATTTCAAAGTTAATTAAACAGCCAAGTACTATATTAACAGCAGCTGTGACAGTTTTTCTAGTTTATTAGAAACATGCTTAAATTTAATTCAGCGTTTTCGATTAACTTATAACATGATTCAGTATAATTAAATATAACTTATGCTGGCTATTCTAAATGAATATAAAACGAATAAAAATACAAATAAAATACGTTTTGTGTAAAGTTCTTACGAAACTATAATATTTTTTTTATTACATAGTTAAGTGAACTAGCTCACCGATCACGTAAATATTGTGACCGACCTTGAGACATGAGGTCTACTTCAGCTGTCCCAGTCTTGTAATAATAGGCAGGACGGTGATACCTAACACAACTGAGCTCACAAGCCGCTCTTCGTCCAATGTCTCTTAGTTAGTCATAGTAGTTTTATTTTATTTTATTTTTTATTGCTTAGATGGGTGGAGGAACTCACAGCCCACCTGGTGTTACTGGAGCCCATAGACATCCACAACGTAAATGCGCCACCCACCCTGAGATATAAGCTCTAAGGTCTCAAGTATAGTCACATCGGCTGCCCCACTCTTCAAACCGAAACGCATGACTGCTTCACGACAGAAATAGACAGGGCGGTGGTACCTACCCGTGCGGACTCACAAGAGGTCCTACCACCAGTAATTACGCAAATTATAATGTTGCGGGTTTCATTTTTATTATACGACGTTATTCTTTCAGCGGGAAAGTCAATCGTGAACATTTGTTGTGTACGTATTTCATTACAAAAATTGGTACCCGCCTGAGACTCGAACACCGGTGCATCGCTCAACACGAATGCACCGGACTTCTTATCCGTTAGGCCACAACGACCTAATTTTCTCTGGTATTTCGACTTATACTAGGCTGCACTAAAAGTATCGGGAATGCAATATTTCCACTGTTCCTGTCATATTAAAATCTTTTTAATTGAAAACTCCTTGGTTTTAAAAATCGAATACCATTTATTTATTTAAAAAAAGATTCTCGGTCTTGTCACGAGGTTTTGTCAAACTTGTTTAGTCGTTGAGAAAATGGAATTGACTCGAGAAAATTCAAGAGCGATGATTTATTATGACTTTCGAAGTAGTTTAACACAAAAACAGTGTGTTGACCGGATGATTTCTGCATTTGGTGATGAAGCCCCATCCAAAACCACAATTTATCGCTGGTTTGCTGAGTTTCAACGTGGACGTGTCAAGCTCAGTGATGATCCCCGTCAAGGTCGTCCAAAAACTGCAGTCACCCAAGAAAACGTTGATGCTGTGCGTAAGCTGATTGAGGAAGATCGACATGTGACATACCGCGAAATTCAGGCAACTTTAGACATTGGCATGAGTCAAATACAAATAATCTTGCATGAACAATTAGGTGTAAAAAAGTTGTTTTCCCGATGGATACCGCATTCGCTCTGTGAAGAGCAAAAAGCGGCTCGCGTTACTTGGTGCGTCAGAACTCTCGAAAGATTCCACGCAGGATCCTCAAATGCTGTATACAACATTGTATCAGGTGACGAATCCTGGATATACGCGTACGAACCCGAAACAAAAAACCAGTCACGAGTTTGGGTGTTCGAAAATGAGTTAAAGCCAACAAAAATTGTTCGTTCACGGAGTGTTGCAAAAAAAATGGTGGCCACGTTTGTCTCCAAAACCGGCCATGTTACGACTATTCCTCTTGAGGGACAAAGAACGGTTAATGCAGAATGGTATGCTAGCATTTGTTTGCCACAGGTCGTTTCTGAACTCCGTAAAGAGAACTGCAACCGCCGCATCATCCTCCATCACGACAATGCGAGTTCTCACACCGCGCACAGAACAAAAGAGTTTTTAGAGCAAGAAAACATAGAATTATTAGACCATCCGCCGTACAGCCCCGACCTAAGCCCTAATGATTTCTATACTTTCCCTAAAATAAAGAATAAATTGCGTGGACAGAGATTTTCATCACCTGAAGAAGCTGTGGACGCCTACAAAACGGCCATTTTGGAGACCCCAACTTCCGAATGGAATGGTTGCTTCAATGATTGGTTCCATCGTATGGAAAAATGTGTCAAATTTCGCGGAGAATACTTCGAAAAGCAATAAATACATTTTTAAATAGTAATGTTGTGTCACTTCGTTAATTCCCGAAATTTTCTCGTATAATACACAAATCAAACAATTAACATATTTTTATTTCTGGATCGCTTAAAGCTTTCATCACTGTACGTAAAATAATTATGAGGGTTAATCTACGAACCTATCAATCTACGTTCTTCGAATATTCTTTTGAATATTAATAAAACATCAAGAGTAGACGTTGTTGTTACTAGCTTTGGCCTACCGAATAATGTGTTTCCCGATGTCCGTTTATCAACGTATTCTGCTCCATAGCAAACTGCAACCCTTGCGTTTGCAAGGTTCCGTCCACACAGAGTGACTGCTTCCTTGTGCGCTGAGACGTAAGCTAACGCCATCAGCACTATCATCACCGTGAATTTCATGTTAAAAATCTCTGAAACAGCACAAAGGGAGATTCGAGTGATCGTTGAACAATATATAGGACTATTAGTTTTTTAATTTACCTACCTACCCCCGTTACTTTAAATAACAAAAAAAACCGACTTCAATGAATGTGGTTGATAGGAACGTAACGTAATAATTAAATAAATAAATAACTGGAATCAAATCACGCACGATCATCCGACCTCAAATTAGGATTCCCTGTGTTTATGATACCAGAAACTGACATATATACTTATATACGTTTAAATATAAACACATACAGATAACAAGCACACAGACAAAGAGAAAACAAACTTGTTAATCACACGAATGTTTGCTTGGTTTGGGAATCGAACCCACGACCCTCTTTTTTGTTTTTCCTACCTAAGCCGATGGGCTTGAGAGACCACTTCAGCGTAACCTTAACTAGTAGGTGAGCTCACGGGGCTCAAACCTGACGTTGTTGCTAACACTAACCCTAGGAAGAGCAGTGCTTCGCAGAATCTACCACCGAATCGGAAGCGCGACCCACTAAGAAGATCTGGCGAGAAACTCAGTGGGCTGTGTCTGTGGGTTGGCTTAATCGCTGAGCCCTTCATCGTCAGGGACGGGTTCGACGAGGACGATGACCGTACCACGATCCTCGGCACAATAGCTGACTGTAGTAGCTGTAGAGTTAGTAGAGTAGTTACACCTCTGAAGGCGTAACTACTTCAACACCGAGTCAGTCAAATTACATTTAAAACATTCATAAATTGAAAAGAAATTATATTATTTTACCTTGTATTATGATCTCCGATGTGGAACAATGGGAAGATTGAAGATGTGTGATAATTTCAGGTGAGTATCCCATCCTTATATACTATTTTGGAGAAAATGAAAGCGGCGTTGATATTACAGAAGCGAGCGGAAAACCTCGGTAATGATTACTGAGTAAATTTTTAACTTAAATGTTTTTTTTGTGCGCAATCAAAAGCATGGAGCTAGGTTTTCCTCCTGTATCATGAGTGTCATAAGTATTGACTGACAACTTGAAATCTGATATCAATACCGAGGTACAGCAGTCAGTATCAAAAAAACAAGCCCGCTGGGTTTCTATCGTCGATTCCTTTTACAACTTTTTTTAAAACCGGCAGGAGAAATTACTTTGTCGCTCAATAAGTATTTGAATCAGTAATCACAAGCCAATTCAGATCACCATTGACAGAAAGCTATTTAGGCGATAATGAACTTTAAAGTGTCACAGTTAAGACTTCTTTTTTGTCATAACGTTACTGTGAACGTGCAGGCAAAGAAAGGACGATTGCATCAGTGGTTGACAAAGTTCTGGACAAACTAACATTGATCGTTTTTTTATTTGATAAACACAAATATGGGTTAATCGCGACTCAATCTCGTTCAAACTATGTTTTGAAATTAAACATAAAATTTAAAAAAGCTTGTATGATTGTATTCTGTGCGAAAAGCTGATTAATTTTTAGTTCATAATGCTATAAAGCATCGCTAAATTCTATACACTAAGTTGTTAGCTGTCATATCAAGCGCTTATTCTAAATTGCTCACAAAAGCATGTGTTTTCAGTAATTTTTGGGAATAATTGTTTTAGTCAGTAATTTATTCATACTTAATATATTCGGAAATCGAAGTGACATGAGGCAGTATTTAACAGTCCATTAATTCCGCTTAAGGAAGGGATGATTACGGAAATGTGCCTATTTTAAATTAACACGTTGACTGCCATGTGGGTTACCGATGCCATACGTGGAGCATTAAAGTATTTATTTTCGACTTCTCTCTTCGATCTTCTTAACCAGTACAATATTTAGTAGACTCTGGGAAAGACGAATCCGAAGATAATGAGAATGAATCTATTTCTAAGAGACCTAAAAGTCTAATACATACATTAACAAACAAAAGAAGGCAAAGCTACGCAATCCGGGCGTTAGTAACAGAAATCGACATAATTATTTCAGTGCGCCACGTAGAGCCCGTAATGTACCCGTAATTTCTTGTGAGTCCACGTGGGTAGGTACCACCACCCTGCCTATTTCTGCCGTGAAGTAGTAATGCGTTTCGGTTTGAAGGGCGGAGCAGCCGTTGTAACTTTACTTGAGACCTTAGAACTTATATCGCAAGGTGGCCCATTTACGTCGTAGGATGTCTATGGGCTCCAGTAACCACTTAACACCAGGTAGGCTGTGAGCTCATCCACCCATCTAAGCAATAAAAAAATTAAAAAAGACATGGCAAGTCAACGTGTTAACTGAAATACCATATTCTATTGACCCCTTATCACATTGCTAAATTTACTCAATTTCCAATATTTCAGCAACGGTACTAACGCTTATAAAATGTAATATAATTTCCCAGCCTTTTTTATTTGTTACTTAGACGAGACAACGAACTCACGATCTATCAAGTATTCAGTGGTATCAGTGCCCTTAAATGCGACACATTGCAAAATGACTGTCCCACCTTTCAAACCAGAAAGCATAACTGCTACATAGCACAACCAGATGCTGGTACCCAACAGTGTGGACTCTTAAATCAGTAAAATAAGTACCATGCTTTTAGTAGTTCCATATATTGTGAATTAATATCTAGCGATGCACCCGTGTTCGAATCCCGGAAGCGGGTACCAATCTTTCTAATGAAATACGTACTTAACAAATGTTCACGATTGACTTCCACGGTGAAGGAATAACATCGTGTAATAAAAATCAAACCCGCAAAATTACAATTTGGGTAATTACTGGTGGTGGGACCTCTTGTGAGTCCACGCCGGTAAGTACCACCACCCTGCTTTTTTCAGCCGTGAAGCAGTAATGTGTTTCGGTTCGAAGGGCGGGGCAGCGTTTATAACTACATATACTGAGACCTTAGAACTCATATGTCAAGGTGGGTGGTGGCATTTACGTTGTAGATGTCTATGGGCTACGGTAACAACTTAACACCAGGTGGGCTGTGAGTTCGTTAGTTTTTATAACTTGTACTGTACTGTTTATCTCAATATAATAATAAATTTTAAAACCTCTTAAATTGTAAGACCTCGAAATCTTAACTTGTCTTCTTTTTAAAGAACTTCTTCAGTACAGCCTGTATAGAAACTACGGACAATGCAATCGAAGTTGCAAAAACGATTTCCACATTCACAACAATTCAAAAAATAAATGTTAATTACATACCATAGTCCTGTTCTGTACTCCAAAAAAAAACGAAATAAATGACCCTTTGAGACCCCACTTCCATTCACTGCAGAGTAATAAAGTAACCGCTTTTTTAACCTAACCACACGATATTACACAATAAATTTTCTTTTTTTACTTATTTACGAAAACATTCGCATTTTTAAAGTCACACTAGGATAAACTGCCTAAGCTTGCTCCGGTTGACAATTTCACTACTGCTAGATACAATACGATCAGTTTTAACAACTAATCTCCTAAGTTCTGTTACTATACGTGCTTAATAACAAAATCGACTGCAGGCCTGTCACAGACAGAATCTTTTTTTGGATAGATGGGTGAACGAGCCCATAGATATCACGGCGGTAATGTTAGTTCCTATCTTGAGGTCGAAATCGTATAACAGCTTTCTCACTATTCTAACAATATTGCATGGCTGCTTCGCCTCAAAATAAGTAGGATGATGGCTATCTTTCAAAGCTATTTGATGTTCAGGATCTTGGTGTATCTAGTTCTTTTTATCTCGTTGTCGAAGGTAGTGTGATAACCTTGTATCACCTTGACCGCGTTCATACGTAACGAACGACGCAGCACCACAGTGCTTAGATGGGTCATAGTGTGGCTCTATAAGGTCACGACCGTATAGTCTTCCACGTGGACTCCCGTGCACATGTACCGGGGTAACCATTTCAGGTGATGGCCTGTTTTTGTGGTATCGTCGCCGTTTGCCACTACAGACGGGTCACTGGGTTAAGCCACCCAGGTTTGTGGGGTCGTATTTATTTGTAGGGCCTCCAGCGTAGCGCCATCAAGCTATCAAACCGCAGTGGGGCAGGCGATCGTCAGGCTGCGGGGGAGGCCTGTCTTATTTGATGGCTACAACCCGCCGCTCAGTAAGTCAAACTCGTGGGGAAAAGTTCTCGCGGGCATCCGTTTGCCAGCGGCGAGGAGCATCGTTCATAGGATGGGATCAGAAAAGAGAAACGGCTCGACCGAGTTCCCCCCAGGGAGTCGCCCACGGTCTTAGCTCGACGATAAGTAGTAGACGAAGGCGGCTTGCACTGCGGTCGGACGCAGCCGATTAGCCATAGATGTAGTGGTTACAGTCGTATGCGCTGACAATGCGACCCAGCTGTTCCGGTTGATGGGAGGCGGGGCATGAGTGATGCTTTTGAACCGTAGCAGCAGTTGGAGAGGATTGGCGACAGCAACTGCCAAGTAGCTCCATCTTGCGGGGCTACATGGGATCATGTCCATCGAAGTTACGTAATTTTATTGTTTTAGGTATTTGAAAATTCTGAATTTTAATAAAATGCCAATCATGCAATCAAAAAAAATCCTTCCCTAAGCACATAGTAATGAATATTTGAAGATAGAACTTAAGTAGGGTTGACGTCAGAAAGACGACCTAATAGTAAAGCACATGCCAAACCCCTATTCTGGTTTGGTTAGAGAACATGCTGCGCCGAACCCTAATTATGTGGGAGAAGGGCAAGATGAAGAAGAAGTTTTTTTTTTGTACGAGACCCATAAATTTTGATAAATAAAATCAATCTAAAATAAATCTTGTTGTATCACTGATTAAAATCAAATTTCCACAACTGAGCGACCACTAGTCTTATTAATTATTGTTCGAAATTCGATAATAGAATTTAATGAAACAATATTATTGGGATTAAATATTGTATTTACAGCTTAATTTAGTAGTAATACTTTGCTATTCAGTACATTGTACTTACACGGTTAAATAATATTCAGTTAGATTGATGAAAATCTTTATGATTTTTATTTTCAAATTACATTGTTGTTTATGGCCCACCAAAAAAGCATTTACAATTAGTATATAGTATATAGAAATAGAAGTAACATGAGATTTTATAATGTCTGTATTCATTAATTTCCCAAAATATTTATGATTTGCGAAAATCCGAGAGCAATTGATAGGTGATGCTTAATTTAGATTTGTCATAGTTGAACTTGAGCCAATTAATTCACTTTTACGTCTCGAGATACAATTTAATGAAATCTTTTGAAAAAATGAAACAATGATAGATCAATAGAAGATTTCAGGATGTTCTTGCACGAGCAGAGCGTCGTCCGGACAGTACCTGATGAGCTCAGCGACAGTGCAAGATCGTAAGCAACATTCATTCGCGACCTGTCTGCGAACACGCCGCCATTTTCCTTCACCGAGAAGCCGTTGCTTGGTCGTGTCTTGTTGTAGATCTTTAGGCGCCATTTTTTCTGTAAAAACAATAACAACATAAAAACAGATTTTTCTTTTAATTTTTACTATTTTAATCAAATCGTAATTCAATTTTGTAAGTTAACCTACTAGGGTATCTAAGTTTTATTGATTTATTTGAACATCATTGTTCACGTTTAATATACATCTTTATTCGTCAGAATATATAATATTAGCCTCATAAATATTTATGGTACGTACGCTAAAATCTCGATCGACTTTTTAAGGCCCGAAACTAAATAAATAAAAATGTTAACGCATAATATTTTGGTAGTGAATGAAACATTTGAAAATTTGCAGCTAAGCGAATTTCAGGATTAAAATAGGAGACGTGACTCGGGAATTTATTAAAATAGTTAATGTACTCATAGTCTCAACTGAACGTACACAAAATGTTTTATTATATCTTTAATACATAATCATCAGTCTTTACAGTAAGTAAAATTACTCATGAATCTATCCTGACTTACTGTGCGTAATATAATTATATAGGTTTTAAAATGTACTAGAACAAATTATTTTAATTGAGTGAACTAAAAAAAAATTATAGGAAAACCGTGATTAGAAAGGAAATCACATTAAATTGGCCCGGATTAATAGACGTATCTAATTTGGTCAACAACACACCTTTGTATAAGCAACCAAATATACAATTTATTGTTTTCCAAAAAGAAAAACGATTTCGTGCAGTATTCAGTGGTGACAGGCGACAACAAAAGAACGTGGCTTAAAACTTAATAAGTATGGGAAACTTAATAAGTATATTATAACGTTGTAGCTCTCGTAAAAAGTAAGTAAGTAAGTACTTGTTAAGTTTGCTTCTAGTGTATTTTTATTTCAGAATACCGCTCTGTCATCAATATACTCCCACTCTTCACGGCATTGGTGAAAGTTAAACTTAAGCCGAGACCCAATTGAATATGTATATATCTATTACTAGCGACCCGCCCTCGCTTCGCTTCGGAAACATTAAAATACACATGAAACCAAAAAAATTAATAAAAAAAAAAAAAAAAGTAGCCTATGTTCATCAGGGACAATGTCGGCTTCTAATGGAAAAAGAATTTTTCAAATCGGTCCAGTAGTTTCGGAGCCTATTCGAAACAAACAAACAAACAAACAAATCTTTCCTCTTTATAATATTAGTATAGATACACGAATAGAAAATTACCACAACTGCAAAACACTAAATACAAAACCACAATGGCCTTATCGCTAAGAGCGATATCTTCTGGAAACAATCCGGCGGATAAGAGTTTCTAAGTAAAAAAATATATCGCGGCGTACATAACGTGATAAAAAAAAAATTAAAGTAAATAATTTATGCATAAATGTCACGTTTACATAAATGCAATACCAATGATAAATACAATAAACATATTAAATATATTAATCAGAAATTTTACCCTTACACAAAGTTAGTTAATTAGTTTATATATTAGATCAATGCACTTTACATTTATGTATTTACTTTACTTATAATTTACAACAAATTCAACGTCGGCAACTATAGTGACAATACTGACTGATCTATTGAATTGAGACCAAAATCGGCTTTCATTCAAGCTTTCAACTATAAAAGATTGGACAAAGACGATGTACACGAGATAATTTTATTCGCGCTCATGTGCACGTGTTGACAGACCGCATCGGAGTCCACGTCAAAGTCTCAAATGCATCGTCATATCGACAGACCAAAACAGCACAAATATGACGGTAATCAACACGTGCAATCTAACCAAACAAGTAATAAAGTAAATAAATTGCTAACCTATCATTAGCGATGTATCTCTTTTGACAATCTTGTAAACATTATTACAGAAGTTGAAGATGATTGTGGAGAGCCATCCGCTGCAGCTGGTCACTTTGTCGTGGATGCTGTACACCCTTTCCGCATTGTCGCCGAACACAATGCTGCTACTCCTCATGAGTATCAACATTATGTATATCTGAAAGAAAGAAAAAAAACTAATGTTTATTTCTATTAAATATCGAAACAAATTAACAGCTTATGAATTAATAGTTTAAAAAAAAATTGACAAAACTTTAATATAACTTAGAGCAGTGTTTTAGTTATTATTGATTGTTTTTTTTTTATAAAACAAATCAAATGAACCCACAAAACATCGAAGTCCCATCTTCGAGAGTATCGATGTATCGGCGGACGGCCCGACAAATGCTCCCTATCAAAGTTACCTGATGAATGAAACTGTCATCAGAGAGCACGTCTAAAAATAGCCCCCAATGGTCCAGAGTACGGAATTACTTAAAACTTGTTTACATCGATAAATGCGTTTACAAAACATTGTCATGGCAATGCGATAACGGCTCCTCTAAACAAAATGTCACGTGATTTATTAGTGGGTGCTTAAAGCGCGGGCCACACTTGGAAGTATATTCTTTTTATTTTAATTCAACTTCAAAACTCAATATCCTGCATTCGCTTACAGAGTTAGGTTCAGTTTATATAACTGAAATGAATACCGTTGTTAATACCATTATTATAAAATTTAAGACAAAGTAAGAAATAAAATATTGTGATTGTTATTTTTGAATCCGCCAAACGCTTTATAATGGTAGGCAGCGACTTAGCTATGCCCATGGCATTGCTAACGTCCGTGAATGACGGTAACCATCAGGTGAGGCGTATGCTCATCTGTCAACAAAGTCTTTAAAAAAACTAATTGTTGTTTTTTTTTATAGCTTAGATGGGTGGACGAGCTCACAGCCCACCTGGTGTTAAGTGGTTACTGGAGCCCATAGACATCTACAACGTAAATGCGCCACCCACCTTAAGATATAACTTCTAAGGTCTCAGTATAGTTACGGCTGCCCTATCCTTCAAACCGAAAAGCATTACCGCTTCACGGCAGAAATAGGCAGGCTTGGTTGCCGAGTGATTGATTTATAAAGATCAATACCAGTCTTGATAACAAACAAGAACTTATAGTTAGCTGAAACCTGAAACTGACCGGTGCAAGGAGATCTTAGTTCAGAAGACCCAGTCTGCGATAACTTACTCCGTACTTGCTTTGACATCTATTATTGCGACTGTAAATTCGCGAACTGGACTACTTTTAAAGGATTAGCTTGTACTAGCTAGCTTTGTACACTATTCTGGATGGTTTTAGGGAATTTAAGTGTTAAACACAGAAGACTTAAATCCAATGACTGCAATCTTGCTCAGATACTTTTACGCGAGGAAGAGTTTCACAATAATATTTTTTTAATGTATATAGATGGGTGAACGAAATTACCGCCAAGTGTTAACCGGTGACCAGAGCTCATAGACATCAGAATCACCCGTCTTGATAGATGAGGTCGATATCCATATAATATTGTATCACAGTTTCACCCACCCAACAGAAATGAGTAGGATGCATTTAAAATACGCCCCACTGCGAACAATCTGCACCACAATATTTTATTCCTCCTCCTTGCGTCGTATTCCTCATTGCTGAGGGTCGTGACCACCCTATTGTATCACCTTCGCACGCACGATTTTTCTCCATCCATTCTTGTCTCTGTCGGTGTGGAGGGCGTTGTGAAACGTGGAATCAAGAGCGGTGCGGATCTGGTCGGACCAACGTATTGGGCTGCGCCCCCGAGGTCTTTTCCCATCTACCTTGCCAGTCACGATGAGCCTCTCGAGATTGCTACCATCCTCCCGTGCGATGTGACCAAAGTATTCAAGGACTCTGCGAAGACACTCGGATGACAGCCGCGAGGAGATTTTGAGTTCTTGCAAGATTGATACGTTGGTCCGAAATGCTGTCCACGGAATACGCAGCATCTTTCTCCAGCACCACATCTCAAAGGCGTCAATGCGTCAAATAGTTTAAATTCTTTTTTAAATATGTTACGTTAAGTATTGTTTTTTTAAAATGAAAAATACAAATCATAAATGCTTGGTCAAAAAGGCTTCACTTTACCGTAATTATGTAATTGATTTCCATTTAAATGTACATGTTTAATTTACTGAATACATAAAGTTAATTGTTGAATGCGCTGATTATACATATCGGCTAATCGTTCGTCGTGTCTAGTGGTATTTTCCAGAGAATTGAACATTTACTAATCATAACAAACATGAAGAATGCACGATATTTAAACCAAAATGAATTTATCTAAAAGGCCCGAAGTATAGCTATTATTTTTGTTCAAATTATTGTTACTAAAGGTCCCGCAGTAGTCGAAATTCGACTATAATTAATTGGAATTGTAAGTTTGTACACTATTATGATTGTATTTTATACTTCTACAATCACAAATTTCTCCAAGACTACACTATAAAAAATATTAACAAAGACAAACAATATTTAATCTATTCTCAATTTGACAACAGACGTCAAGAACAAAAGTTTGACAATAAATAGTATGCATGCGTGTGTGCGTCAAATACATGGTATGTAGTGTGTGTAATGTTTTCTTTATTGATTTAATGTATCTTTTATGCATTCTTTTAAAAAAATATTAGCATTGTGCACTTCTTCTCTATATTCTCTATAGGTGTGGAAAATTTCATACTCCTCCGTCCGCGCAATTTTCGTAAAAAGGGATACAAAGTTTTTGCTTCACGTATTAATTATTGTTATATCTCATAATAACCAAATTATCTAAAGTAAAATTCGGTATCTGGATTTTACGAGTGTGTGTGTGTGTGTGTGTGTGTGTGTGTGTGTAAATTTGTTATCTCGTTCAATATTCGTGTGATTACTGAAAAGCCATTATACGAGCTGATAAAATACGAATATAACGATATTAAAGCAGACGTATATTATCTAGAATTGGATAAAATCAGAATGAAATGTTAATCAAACATATTGATGTGATACTCAATAATTGTAATACTGTTACACTGGTATGAGACCGGTACGTCAAATCACCAATACTATGCCATCACTCATTCATAGTGGTTGTATCTTAGTGCTATTTACCTATTGTTTTTATTTGAAAAAACGAACCACCATTTAACCCGGTTTATGCTTATTGATCTTCAAAAGAATTCGAAGAAATTGCCCAACTAATGGTGAGTGATCGCCGTCTATGGATATCAGTTGAACTCTGCAGAAAAGCAAATTCTTTGGAAATGCCAGTCCTCTTTTTTTAATTCCTATACTGAATAACTTTGGTACTAGGTAAGCCCATCGAGGGGGTCGGTTGTGACTCCAAGGACTGCTGGTCCCCCGATTTGGGCGACAGAAAGTTTTAGTCAATTCAATTCCATCTGTTATACGATTTTTGGTGAGCTCAATACCCATATACCTTAATTTAGAGCGGAAACTTTAAATTACACCAACAAATATATGTTTTTTGGAACGAAATTCCATAAGGGACGATGCAGAGGGGTACCCTAACCGGGAAAAAACGTCCGTAACGTAAGATTTTTTCTATTTAGCTTGTTATCAACAGATGTCGCTGCACGTAAATTCAACAATTCCTGAATCGCGGTGACGTCATGTTACACAGTTGATAGACGTTCTCGTATTTCTCTTGCTAAATCATACTTACCTGGCGTAGGGGATACCGTGATCATGCAGGCGGTTTCCCCAGGGCGAGACTGCTCCATTGTACTGCAGAGTGGTTGAGCCTTGCGATTAATTTTATTTTATCAATAAAAAATCATAATAAAAATGTGTACCCGAATAATTATTTTCTTTATACCTCGAATAGAACTTAAAATTAATTTTTTTTTTATTATAAGGAACTTCGTTCCTATCCGGTGTCCCACGACACCACACAACTTTTTTTTTGTTTATTTATTAGCGCCTTGGCTTCTCCCCTATCATTTCCGATGTTCTTGAGTGACGTTGACCAAATAATAATAATAATAACATATTTAAAATACAATACAATGATTCAAGACAAGGAAATGAATACAAAATATTTTGCTTAATATTATTATTATTGATAATTCAAGGCTTTTTTAATTAATTACTTGGGTGTTTGTATTAAAAAAAAAAAATTATATATACATCGTAATTATTATAGTCCAACTATTTATTTCTGAATACAGTTTTCGTGCACATAGCAACACGCGCTGATACGCGTCGAGAGATATGCGCCAGGAAGTCACGCTACATTTGTAAGCTAATAATAATGACCGGTCACAGGTCACTGTTTACCAGACGACCGATCGCAGTGCCCAATTATGCTATGTCCTACATTCGAATAAGGATGTGTTAAGTGTGTTGCAACGTTTTGTTAGCCGAAGAAAAATACGAAGGCGACAATTTAAACGATAATTATTTATAGTTTTTAACAGACTACACCAGCCTTTCTCAAAGTGGGCGATAATGCCCCCTTGTGGGCGCTGCAGGCCTAAAGGGGGGGGCGGTAAGAGACACAGAAAAAAAATGAGGGCGTTGTGAGGCTTGGGAGGCGATTTATAATTTCATCTTGAACGACTCTTAGACACCGACTGAGCTCTTGCTATAGTGGATGGAATAGTAGGTGAAAAAATGGGGGCGGTAAAAAAGAATTTATTCTCGAAGTGGGCAGTAGACAAAATAAGTTTGGGAGCCCCTGGACTACACGAATTAAGCATCGAAAATCGATCGCTTTACGTGCGGACTCCGTGAAGTAGATTAAATGTTAATTCGAAGCTTTCGCCATTATCTCCAATGAATAATTTGTACGTTGTTTCGTTTATGTTTTGTTTTACGACGAGTATCCGTCTCGAATAAGTAAATTCAGTCTTTGTTGGGTATACTTTTCAATTTAGAGGTACATGTTTCTGTTCATTACCAATTGAAAACTTTAATATATTCAGATTCTTTGCTACAGACTGTGATTGCAGTATTAAAATTACATTCGGCGTTATTGTTTATTCTTATCAGTTTTTTTTTATTGCTTAGATTGGTGGACGAGCTCACAGCCCACCTGGTGTTAAGCGGTTACTGGAGCCCATAGACATCTATAACGTAAATGCGCCACCCACCTTGAGATATAAGTTCTGAGGTCCCAGTATAGTTACAACGGCTGTCCCACCCTACAGACCGAAACGCATTACTGCTTTACGGCAGAAGTAGGCAGGGTGGTGGTACCTACCCGTGCGGACGCACAAGAGGTCCTACCACCAGTAATTACGCAAATTATAATTTTGCGGATTTGATTTTTATTACACGATGTTATTCCTTCACCGTGGAAGTCAGTCGAGAACAAGTACACAAGTAAGCCCTCACAGCCTC